ATATACTCGTCCTTTTTATAATTCATGAAACTGTTATCATCACTTCAGAATCTTCTGATTATCCTACAATTACAATAATTGTGAAACTCCATCTTTTTATGTGAGGCCGAAAATCTTAATTTATTCTGCGCGTCTGATTCAATCTGTCCATCTCAGTTGCCAAACCACGGTGTAGATTGTTGTTCCGTGGTACCTACATGCGATCGATAGTCGTTCCTTCACCGACACCCACCGCAAAGAGGGCAAATTCAGTATTTCCGGATTGCGGCGAAATTTGCGAATACCCTTTCAAAGTTTACTAATACTAATTGTCTCGCTGCTCTTTTTTGCTTTACATTTACTGCTCCACCTCCGTTATCGCTTCTACTGATCATTCTTTAGGCACCAAGTCACCTCAGTTTACGGAACTTGTTCGAAGGATGACAGGGTAAAAATCGTATTTATGAATAAACACACACTTTTTCAAGATAAATTCAGTTCTATGAGGGTTGCCTTTTATATTTCAGGATTAGAGAACAAAAACAAATACTAATCATCGAAAATCACTTTATTGTTTTTCAAAATATTCCCCATGAAGATCTATACACTTTTACATGCGTTTGAACCAATTGTCGAAGCACTTTTGCCACTCTGATCGAGGTATCTCCAAAACATGCATTCTGAATGCAGCAACCGCTTCTTCAGGTGTCGAAAAACGATGACCTCTCAGTTTGTTTTTTACGTACGGGAATAAAAAGAAATCCGTCGGTGCCAAGTCAGGACTATACGGCGGATGACTCATCAAATCGATGTTTTGGGTGCTCAAAACTGCAGTTGTTTGAGCCGATGTGAGAGAGCTCGCATTGTCGTGGTGAAGAGTGATCCGTCTTCGGCAGTTGATTTTCCTGATTCTTGGATGACAGCTGGCAAACAAATCGTTGCGTATTACTCACAATTGACTATTCTGCGTTGTTCTAGTGGTACGGTAGCGATATCTTTTCTTTTTTTTTATCTTTTTTTTTCCGAAAAAAACAGGCGACCATCTGTTTGAAGTGCTTCGTGCGCGAACAACTTTTGTTTGATTTTGCTCATCTTAAACACCCATACAGTCGACTGCTGTTACTTTCGGGCTCATTCGCGTAAATCCACGATTCGATGTCATAAGACGTGTTTCGAAACACTGCGATCGTATTTTTTCTTGATGGAGCTTCATCGCCAAAAATTGAATTAAGTTCATCCATTGCACTGTTGCTGAGTTAATCCACGTCGAAAGTTGTAAAAAATAATCGCACGAAAATGTTCACATTTAATTCCATTTTGGCAAGATGAATCTTTTAAGTACTGTAAACAACACATATAGCGCTCGTATGTCAAAACGTTCGATACGTATAAGCCCAAAAACATCCAAACTTTACGATAGAGCTGTCAGTTGCCAGATTGCAACACCAGGGTTGCCAAATCCCGAAACATAAAAGGCAACCTTCGTATACTTCGGTTATAGGGGATACGAGAGCGTCTGCACTAATTATAATACCAATAGTGTGATTTGTGAAATAAAATAAATTAGTGATGGTACAAAAGTCACAGACTTTCTCGAACTAGTTCGTTTCCTAATTTCTTTTTACTCTGGGCTATATTTTCAGTTTTATTCCACAATCTTCCCAGCTTCCATCCAGTGCCTCATAAAGATAATTTTTTCACATTTTTTTAATTTTTCGTTTCCCTACTGATAGAACCGAAACATGACTTTCAGAATTCTATAGAAATGTAAAACTTCGTCCTATGTAGACATTTTCCTTAAAAATTTCAAGAAACTAACGTTTGAATGTTTCTGAAAATGCAGAACTGCGAGCTCAATTTCTTAGAATATTTTTGAGTTTTCGAAGAACTTTATTAGACATTACAAATGCAATAATGTATACAAGTCGCCGGTAATGTAAATATTAAGGATGTGAAAGAAATGTAAAACAAACAGTTGTGTAAGTTTTGAAAAAAACAACAACAAAAGAATAGAGTGTAGCGTCGTGCACACGTCACAATAGATGTGACAACAGGGCGGCCGCGTGACGTAGGAGAGACGCCCATGTGCTCGCCGCATGGTAGACCACTGGGGTTAAGTATGGGGCGGAAAGGGGTGGAGGGCGCGGCCAGCCAAGCTAGGCGGCTGCGACTCTCCACCGGTCCCATTTCGCTTCAGGAGTCGAGCCGAGCAGATCCAGCAAATCGGACCCAGCGCGCCGGGTTGGGTGCCGACTGCGTGCACGTAGGCTAGGGGGCGGCAATGTACTTTGTCGTGAAGTAGTGAGACTCAAGTGACGAGACGTGTAGGAATTATGCGGTGCTTCACACGATCCGATTTATTCAATAATTAAGTAGAGGGTGTGGTAGACGTAGAATCAAAAGTACTCCTAGTAGAGGGGTCGATTTATTTCGTTTATTCAACTATTGAATATAAAGTTTATTTCGGTGGTGGATTTATTTATTAATAAACAAGCAATAAGTTACACCTCTCTCGTCTGTTTATTATTGCAACCTGCATGACGCCGCAAGAGCAATACAGCGTTTATGTCATCTTACATTGGACAATTAGTACCATCCCTACCAAATGTTTGAAAAAAATTAGAGCCATTTTTTGAGAATTTATTATTTTCAATATTTTTGTGGTGCACATATTTCACCCAATATTGCACAAAAACTACTAAAATTTTCAAAGAAATGTGCATAACGTCAATGAAAGAACAAATTAGGGAGAACAAATTGCATTTGAAGAAAAAAATCTCAATCTTCAATACTGTAGTTGTGAGGAGACGCCGAGAAAAATTCAAACTTTTGTAACCTTCTGAAAATAAAACTTAACAGGAAACATCCGATCTATGCCAGCTTGAGAAACATATTTCAATGTTGTAAGAATTTACAACAAATTTGAAGAAAAAATTTGGAACCATTTTTGAGAAAAATATAAAAGATGTCCCAGGGACGTCATTTAAACTATCTTTTGCGAACATATAAAGCTTTGAGACAGGCCAGATCGACCAGTCACGATAAAATTCTAGGAATACTTGTAGTTTCGGCGTTAACGTTGTTAACAGATGAGCGGGCAGAAGGACGAACGTTTTGAAAAGAAAATAGCAACACTTTTTTGGTATCAGAGGGCCCAAAACATGCATTTCGTTGAAATCTCGAAATCGATTTCCCGCAACATTACGTCAATTCCTCTGTACTACATATTTTACTCAGTATATACATACGTATACGAGAGTGTACGTACTATATGTAACTGAGTAACTAATGTTGTAATGCGGAAAATAGCGAAAGCGTTATCTGACGAATCCCAGTCGGGCCACAAGAGAACCTGCTTACCTGTCTCGTTCCCAGGTCCTATGAGCCAACTCTCAATTTGCACAAGAGTTGTGCGCAGACACACTTGCATTTGTCAGGGTAGGCGCGGCCGGGCGCTGCCTCGCTAGCAATTTATTCTGAGAAAAGGCCCTGGTGTGACCGTGTAACTACCGTGCTATGCGTGTTCTGCGTAGTCCAGTGAAGTCGTTTGCTGACTACCCGTACAGATGATTCCAGTTTCCAATAACATGCAAGCAGCATATTAATATCTACGGAATTTGTAACTACCTTTTTCATATAAAAATTTAAGATTGAAGAAAAGCAATAAAACTCTTTATTAACGAATTGATAGGTATTTAAAACAACACCTTTGTAAATGTATGAGGCGCGTCTCAATCAGAATGGCTTATTTGCGAATGGTTTATTCCGTTGATCCAGTTCATGTAACTTCCTCGTGCTCTTCGTAATATATTTCACCCTTTGAAGTAGCGGGTTTTTAAGGTAGGCCAGTTTGACACTGCATACCCTGATAAATGTTATTTCTGTCACTTTCTCGTGCACTTACTGATGTATTTTGCTCTCTCAAGTAAGCGGCTCTTTGGGATAGGCATTACCTACTCTGATGAATATGTTATTCCTGGCATTTCCTCTCTTTTCCTCGTGCGCTTCCTAATATTTTTTCCCCTTTCAAGTAATGGCCAGGGATAGGCACCGCCTACCCTGACTAATACGTTATTCGTCATACTTCCTTACTGTTTCTCGTGCACTTCCGGTAACTTGGCGTATGTAGCGTACCCTAATACAAATATTACTAGTTGAAAGATTTAGTAATAATAAATGGTAAATGAAAACTTTTAGAATTCTGATATGGTACTAGTATTATTCATATGGAAATGTATTACTATTATTGCATTATTCTGGCACGAGCAATATTTGCATTTCAAACGTTTTGACAGCACGTGCAATTTGCACAAGCGTTCTGTGGCGTCTTTTAGCGCAGACACTTGCATATGCCCAGCATATGCCAGGGTAGGCGCGGCCCGGCGCTGCCTCACTAGCAATTTACTTCGAAGAAAAGGAGAGCGCCATGGAAGTTAGAAAATCGATTCACAGGGCAATGGACTCGCGCGGATTTAATCGTTTGTTCACACAGGAGGCGATCCACCATCGAGACTGTTCGCCGTTAATTTTGAAATAATGTGAGCCCGCCGCATCTTAATAGAAAGCGGTATTCTGTGATTACCGACAATGGAAGACTCCTGGAGTAATACCGTGCGGGAGGTGACGCGCTCTAATGGTCATATTTGAAGTAGTTGGAACTTGTATATTCCTTGACAAATTGATTGTTTCATCTCTGTAATCGCCAATTTTGATGGAAAAATATATCTCGAGCGCGGGACGTTTGAAATGTACGTCCTCAGTTCATCACAAGGAATAGCTATAATTATTTATATTTCACATTAGGCGCCAAATTGGAATGCATTTGGTGACCTAAAATATTACACCACTTTGCACAACCTTGTTTTCCGTTAACCAAGGTACTTCTTCCTTGCTGTGTAACTTGTGCTTCTTTCTGCTAGGCTTTCCACGAATTATGAACTTAGCCCTAGTATATGTTCTTTCTGGTTATTTTACCTTGAGAATCAATTGATCAAATTTGTAAATCTGAGGTTTACAGTGAAATTGGAGGAGTAGGTTTCTACTCATTACCATTTCCACATATCTTCTGCTTAGAAGTGTGTACTTCTGAGGTAACTTGCTTACACCCAACAACATTTGGAGTTATTTGGTAAAGGAGATGATAATATGTAATGTATCATTCCACAAGTCCCAGAGACTTGCAAAGTGCTAAGTTGTACTAGTAATGAACAACATAACTTTACTATTAAATATTAAGAATTTATTTGTCAAAATCACCCACGATATTCTAAACATATTGGAGGGTGCAATCCTGAAAGTGTAGCACTGTACACAAAAAATACTGCCATTTCAAAATGGGTCTGAGACAAGGACACTCACTCATGGCATTCTAGAGTTAAAATAAAAAATGTACAAGAGAAAGATTAAAGGAAGAGGTGAACAAAGTAAATGCAATTGTGACAATAACTTGTGCTTTCTCTGATCATATTAAATACTCATAACAGTAAGAAAACTACTCTTATAAACATAGCAGTAGAACCTAGAATGTGTACTTTGAAAGCAAAACTTCTTGAAAAAGCAAATTATTGGCTCTTCTTTCTCCCCTCCCTCCCTCTTTGTTTTGTTTTCCCTTTCTCTGGACAATTCCAAATACTCTGATATTTGGCCACTTGTATTCTATCATGAAAACACTTTCAAGTCTCCAAAAACTTCTTTGAACTCAAATTTTTCCAGAATGATGCAAAGCCTACATAAATCACACAAATAAACTATTTGGCTTCTTCTGTATTAAAAATCTTGAATTGACGAAGTTCAATAATTATTCAGGCCATAAGCAACAGATTTTCAAATAAAAACTGACTTATTCATTATGCACAATATATTCTTTTATATTTACTCTTGAAATTTTAAAAACACTATAAATTTTGTTTTGTACAATAATGATGAAAAAGTGTTTCAAGGTACAACAGTTTTCTTTTCCTTAATGTAAATAATAATCATACCTTCAATAATAAATTTCAATTTGAAAAATGTGCAGGAATCAAAATATAAATCAACTAAGTTCATAAAGAACATGGAAAGCAATACACTGTAAAAAAAAACTGAAAAAGTTCATATTATCTCTCATCACATAAGTCAGTCTTTCAGAATAAACTGCAGAATTAATGCATGATACAACAGGATTGGAATAGCACAGTTGCTACTCGAAATCAATGTGGTATTCCAAAAATTTACTTCCAGTTCAATATTTCACCACTTGTTCAAGAAACTATCTTCAAGTGTTTGGTAAATATGCAGGGCAAGATTCATGCTGAAAACAATAAGAAATCTTCTATTAAAATATTATCCAAATTAGCACATTAAAAACAAAGAATTCCTAAGTAAGCAGAGAAAAAACACTACAGTTCACTGTTAAATAGTTGTTCCAGGAGAGAGGAAAAAAAGAAAAGAAAGAAAGAAAGAAAAAATATGAAAGAATATAGGAAGAAAGAAAAGAGAAAATATTTATTGCAACTTGGAGGATAAAGGGAGAATACAATCTTTGGAAAAATAACACAACATTGGAGCCGAACTTGTTAACAGATGAACAAATAATTTCCTGTAGTGACTTTAAGACATCAAAGCTCTCTGATCTATTCTGTCAGTAAAGGGAGGCTGGCAACGAAGTTATTAACTGCAAAAACAAAATTCTTAATTTTAAATAGTAAATATAATAATAAATAAATAATAATAGGTAATAAATAAATGTGATTAACAGAAATCTAATTTTAAATTGCCTTATGATTTAAAAAATTAAAATTAAAAGCCCCAATACTAATACAACTAAATATTTGCGATTTGACAGCCTGCAAGATAACATAAATAGTAAATCTCAAGGGTTGAGGCAGGTGCAGCCAGGCAGAAGAACAACAATATTATGTAAAGGCATGGATGTTTTAAGTTGTCTGTGGGGGGTCATTTCCAGTTTTCCACTTCTAAATCTTAATCCTCTCCTCATCCCTAGGCCTTACCCTCAAATTTAGTAAGCTTTCCCATACTGGGTTTAAGGACTTCTGAGGGAAGGCACTATATAGGGTACTGGCTTCCTAATCCCCTAACAAGGAACAAGCCTTACGTCATAAAAAACGTACAAGACCAAAAAGGTCCCAAACCTGAAAATGGGGGTCTCAACTATGAAAAAAATTGAGATATAAGAAGATACAAAGGTCAAAATTATTACTTACTCTTTGAAACCACTAGCAATTTCTTCAGCTTTTGAAGGGTGACAAACAACACTAGTTTTGCATTTCTGAGGGTCAAAAAGGGGAGCAACATATTTGGGTCCAATTCGATTCAGGTCATCAGTTGAAACTTGTGCAATCAAATTGACTAAATTTCTGAAAAAATACAATGAATTTTTTGGAGATATAATACATCATAATTATAATGTAGAATATATTGTAATACAGTAATTGTATATTGTTGTACAGTACCTGTTGTAATTGTGATCCACCCCTTTGAAGTAAGATAAAAGAGACTGGTTAACAACATCTCCAATACTCTTTTCATGTTCAATTATTTCAAATATTAAAGAGCTCTTTGCAGACTCAAATAAAGTTTGGTCCCATTTTGCTCCATCAGATAGATGTGTGTCCTTCATAAAAGTAAACATAGATAATTAAAATATAAGATTTACACCTATATTATTTTACTGTTACTAATGTAAAGGAACATACCACAATGCTCTTTACTTCTTTATAAGCCAAGACACAATTGGTAGCACGATAAAAAGAAAGATATAAAAGTCCTTCATTTGGACGTGGAATCATTGTGTAGCCATAAGCCAGTCCCAAACCACGTACTTGCTTCCACAAAGGTCCCTACAAGCAATGAATTACATATGAATTACACGTTTTCCAGTTGTGAAACTATTATCAAAGAAATGTAATAGGTTCTAAAAATTATTTATATGTTTTACATGCTCTCACATGTCTATTTCACTTTGATGTACATTTCAATTAATATTCATCAGTAATATACTGGAGCAGCCAATTCGGAAAGAGGCAAATTACATTAATATTTTTATTATAATCATTATGCATAAACAAAAAATCCATATGCATAAACAATACTAGGTACATTTCTAGAATATTTAGATAATTTTACCTTCTGAGTTTCCTACTGTACTAACCCACGTAAAAAATTGTTCAGAGCTTTGAATAAAACTAATTAACTCACCTCTCAACTGTGATAAGTTCGTATGTATGTATGTATGTATGTATATATATACATATACATATATACATATACACATATATATACATATATATATACATATATATATATATACATATACATATACATATATATATACATATATATATACATATATATGTATATATATATATATATACACGCACACACACACACGTGTGTGTGTGTATATATATACTTTGTATTTAAATATTTTATTGTATTGTTTTACTGTCATTGTTTAATACTATTAACGGTCATTAATAAGGAGCAGATTTTGATCACATAAAACATAGCCAAAAATGCTCGTAAAAAGTTTTAAAAAATTCTCTAAAAGCAAGGAAAATGATGTAAAAAATCTAATCAAAACAAGTTTAGATAAACAACTCAAGATGTTGGATATATTACTAATGTAATAGATATTTCTTCCTCTTATTACAATGAACGCAGCTTACAAACTTTAGGTTTTGACTGTCCTTATCAGGAAATATGTCTTTAATTAACCCAAAAATGGCTGAACCAACAATGGTACTGATAGGCATTACAGAAACCTTAGATTACATACTGAGAATGGCTGACATTACAATTACTGAACGAAAACATCGAATAAGATACTCAGGAATTCTGTGGAGAACATTTGTCGCATCTTGTACGTAATATTTGAAGCAATATCATTAATATTATTTTAAAATCTGTGAAATCAAAAATGCTTTAAAAATGAGGGAGAAAGGTAATAAATGACTTTGTCGAAATCAACCAAAAATGTCATATAAAGTAGGTTATATCCTTTTGTCATAACAGAAAATTATGTATATACTAAAATGCATTGTTCTAAAATGAAAAGATAAAAAAATAACATTTCATTAAAATATGCCCCGAGTTCTTAATTATTCAATAAGTTCTCTTTATATTTCCTGCATTTTTAGCCTGTTGTGAAAGGAAACCTTTCCAAAATTGAAAATTATATGCACTGAGGAAAAATTTTCTATTTATTTTGTTATTAAAATCTAATTAAGCCGATCCGGTGGCCGAGACCGCTAAGGCAGTAGTGCCGTAGCGATCTCGTACCGAAAGATCGCGGGTTCGAGTCCCGCCTCGCCATGGCTTGTATTGTGTCGTCTTTCACCCCCTATCATTCATCAACCTCCATCTCTCATAATCACCTTCTGAATACCTCAGAATAGTAAACATGAGGATTTATCCTCACTCAAGGTGAAAACCTTTGACAGTCGACCATGTAACAGTAAAAGTAAGTGAACGACTTTAAGTCGTCCAATGGTGGCCAATCAAGTTAATAATAATAATAATAATAATAATAATAATAAAAAATAATAATAAATAATAATAATAATAATAATTAATAATAATAATAAGTAAGAATAATAATAATATAATAATATATAATAATAATAATTACATATAATAAATAATAATTAATAATAAACATATACATAATAATAAATAATAATGATAATAATAATAATAATAATAATAATAATAATATATAATAAAATAATAATAATAAATAATAATAATAATAATAATAATAATAATAATAATAATAATAATAATAATAATAATAATAATAATAATAATATAATAATAATAATAATAATAATAATAATAATAATAATAATAATAATAAAATAATAATAATAAATAATAATAATTAATAATAATAATAATAATAATAAAATAATAATAATTAATAATAATAATAATAATAATAATAATAAAATAATAATAATAAAATAAATAATAATAATAATCAATATATAATAATAATAATAATAATAAATAATAATAATAATAATAATAATAATAATAATAATAAAATACATAATAATAATATAATAATAATAATAATAATAATAATAATAATAATAATAATAATAATAATAATAATAATAATAATAATAATAAAATCTAATTAATATTATTATCTAATTATTTAAATAATCTGCTGAAAGTGAATTAATTTTTTATTATCCTTTTCTGTACATATACAAATTTCACCAAATTACCTAAGCATAAATTCAAGTTCAACTATTTCTGAAACTTCACCGGCATTTCTGATGTAGTAAAAAATCAAATAGTAAATTCAATCAAAATCAATTTAAGTATAGATTTATTTATTTTATTTTACAGGACAGCACATTACAAATTAAATTTAGTTTATATATTAAATGATAATTACATTATACATTAAACATAAATTAACATTAATATAATTTAGAAAGAATCTTTTATGTTCATAAACTATTCTGCAACAAGAGCGAGTTTCACTAACATGCACCTTATGAGATGTTAGTAAAAGAGTTGTTAAAATTAATGTTTCTGATAAGATATGTACAACCAACTTCCTCTTGATTTTGACATTTCACCAAAATTCTCCTGATATTTAACTCCTGATATCAGTTAGTTAATAGTCAGCTATCTTGCAAATACAAAATACTTAAATATTTAGAATGCTGTGAACTAAAGACTCTGAACATACATTTACTTACTAAAAAGACCTAGAAAGACCAGCTACCACAGATAATCTGAAAAAATTTCAGATCAAATTGCCCGATTTTGCTGTAAAATATAAATCGGCAATAAAAGGAGGTTTCTATACAGTATTTCAAGAGTTTTCTTAATTTTCTCTTATGTTTGGATTTCAACCACGAGTTAAATGACCATAATGGAGCAGAGAGAGTGTTAAAATTAAAACAATTTTTCTCTCAACGGATCATTAAAGCTTCTAATGTCTTGGTAGTGGAACAAGTGTTGGTGAAATCAGCTCTTATCTTGTAAAACATTTTGATTTCATATTCATTGGAACAAAAACAAGAACATATTGAAGAAAATTTCTTACCTCTAACTGAGTGAGGTATTGCAGAAACACAAGAAGGGAAGGCAAATCAGGATCACTGAAATCTTTTATAGCTCTAGTTGTTTGGCAAAAGAATGAAGATTCTATGCATCCCAGGCCAACAACACAACTGTTTGTGGTCTGGTCAGCAGGAGGCAGCAGCAACGTCCAGTCTGGTGTCACAGACAATCTGAAAACACATTGATTCTCTACTGCCCAAATTCAATGATACCGAGATTCTTATCCATAGCATTTCTTAAAAATAACATCAATGTGTTTGGGTATTGCATCTCTCAGATCATGTATGAACATTGTGGATTTGTTTTTTCTGAGGAAATTGTTCAAAAGCAAAACTTCAAAGGTTCATTGCCCATTTTTGTTAGAACAGTTGCACTTTATTGTTCCCCAATTTCCTTGGCTGACCTATTTTTTAAGTACTGATACAAGAACGTATATACATCAAACAGAATGTGCAGAACCGTGCAATGAATTGGAATCAATTGAAAGTAGAGACAAGCAGTTATTGACAGATATTAGAGGGTTATTGCATAGATTGGAACGACAATCTTGTGTAGTTTTTTTTCTTTCTTTTATTAAATTTTTGATGTTTTCAATGGTTTGCTAAAATGTAAATTGTGTCCTACTGTAGTATGTAGTTATATGATTAAATGAGTTACATATGCAAATAATTTTTGTAATAATGGTTGAATTGTCCATGTATTGATAATAAATAAATAATTACTTTTTATGATGAAAAAGAGAAGCAAATAATAATTCAATACAATTCAGATATTTTTGACGAACTTACTTTTTTTTAATGACAGTAGAATCCCCAGGTAGCAGATTCAACCAAGGCTTTACAGGATCACCGATTTTTGATACTAACTGGTCGATATTTGTAGCAAGATGAATGACAAGGTTCTCAGGATTAGTAATGAGTCTACGAATTTGATCAATTTCATCAAGTACTTCCCTTTGTGTTTCTTCAGAATCCAACTTTTCAATTAAAGATGTAAGGAACTGGTGTTGTCTAAGCATACTTGAAGCATAATGATTACTATCTGAAATAAATATCGAAAAACAGAATTTTAATATGTATAAACCTTTCAATTATGCGAACAAACCTGGAAAATTGAAACTTCTTATAGTAGCAAAATATGATACAAGCATACGATGTATGCAAATGATACACGATTATTTGTAACCCCCCGATATTCTACAACCAATTCCAAGAAGATCTGTGACAAGTACAAAAATTGTCTGACACTTGGCAAATGGCTTGAACTGTAATGTTCTACATTTAGGAAAGAACAACTCCATACGACCTTATACCACTGGAAATCATGTATTCACAGAATTACAAATGCACCACGAAGTGATTATCGCTTGGGATCTGAAATGGGAAAGGCAAGCCCAAGCTGAGACAAAAAAAGCCAACAGGTTCATTTACCTGAAACGGAAGGCATTTGGTGAGGAGAACATGGAGACAGCTTGAAAAGGCTATGTAACATACATGAGACTAATACTAGTATAGACCCCTTGTTACAAAAAGATATCAAACTTCTTGAAAACACACAAGTGCAAAATTCAAAAAAACACTGACAGCCCAAATGTAAAGACAGAAACAGACACTTCAAGCTACTCAGCCTAGAAGAAAGGTCAAAAACAAGGTGAACTGATCACCGATCACAACTTACAAGGTACTAAGTGGGGGCACAATGTAGTCATTTTTCAGTAGGCAGTATCTGATAACAGGCAGAGGTCATTCAAAGAAGTTGTAGGAGGGTCCAAACCAACCAACGGTCCTACTTCATCACAGATGAATAGTGAATACATGGAATAAATTACCAGGGCCTGTATGGAAGCAAGTATTGCATTCTTCGAAACTCAGTTGGACAAAGCTTTGTGATACACAAGATGAAGAAAAACAGATATGAGATTATGCAAATATGAACATATTATAAGATAGTTTGATGTAGCTTATGATGTATTTAATTATCATGTATTGAAGAAACTGATAGTTGTATTATCAGCTATGCTGCTACCATACGAGAAATATAAATTAATAACATAATAAACTGATATATGTAGGCATTCTATCCAATATTTAGCACCCAAATGCTGACACACTGTGCAGTGAGTACATTTGACATATAAATTGCTGATCACTACTGAATGAACCATTGAATGCAACTAGATTCAAATTAACTCCATACTCATTCGTAGAGGTCTGGTTACAAAAGACTTATTTTAGACAATAAGTAAGTTATGTTCATCACAAACAAAATTCCCTTATTGTTAAATAATACATAACTGCTGTTGCCTAACATTCAATCAATATCTGAATGATTTAAATCTAATGACTCTGAAGTATCACAAGAAGGTCATAGATGCAGATACAAGATGAGAAAAATGGATAGTTCCAATAATTGCATCAATTTTTATATCATGAATATGAACAAATAGATGATTAACATTGTTTACTACTTTATAAATATTTCTATAAAGTCTATAAATATTTCTAAATGCAACGATTACACCCCTACCTCTAATGAGGTTATTATTCTAAGAATCTTTACAATTTCTAAAAATGAAATTTTACATCAAATCCATACTGAGAATTTCAGGCATAAGTGTTTCTGATAATAATGTAATCCTCATTCAAAACATAAATAATTTTTCCCATAAATAAATCCTTTCGTTTTGTTTTTATATCTCGAACATTTTGATAATAGTGCTTGAGAAAGTTAACCAAATTTTCAAAACGCTACCCTTAATTACAACAATTTTCAGAATGTCACTGATGTACTTAATAATCTTGGTAACTTTGGCTTTATTAAGATTATCCAGTTCAGTTCCCAATTTTGTCAAACGAATTTTTGCATCAAAGTCGAGTCTCCAATAATTTTAATAGGAGTTACACATTTATTTTTGTTTCAAAACTAATAGCTGATTGATTGGTCTAAACTACTTTTACCACACAAGGCATACCTATGCTCAAAAATTTCCCTAAATGATATATTTTAGCTACATCCATTTCTTCAAGATCAGAAATATCAACAACACAAGCAGATTCGAGTTTTACGTTGTTCAAATAATTTTTTTAAGAATATTCAGCTAGATTATAAATAATGATATATTTACAAATATTCCTCTCTTCAAGCTCATCATTAACATTTGTGTGATCAATGCTTATGGCATCAACGTAACAATTTTTCAGTTTCACAGATTCTATTTTATCAACCTTTTCTATAACAGTCTCCATTCTAGAAATCTTAACACACAATATTCATTAAGTTTAGATACGACCACTGCAAGTACTCAAACTTTTTCTGCAATCAGAACACTTTAATTCAAGAGTACACATCCACTTCAGATCTAAAACTTGGATTTCATTCACTCAAATTTACACATGACCAATGTCTTGACCCGTGACAGCTGTCATAAACAAAAATTTTCTCACTTCTATCATCACGCAAATGTATTCTTTCATTATTCTCAGCTTTCAGATCAGACTGAAGTAGATACTTGCTCCATTAAGTATTTGGTAGGATATGATGAACACTCGGGATAAATCAAATCACGAAATAATCTCCTAATCCACGGCTCGTGATGAGATCAGGATTACTTCTCACCTTTTCCAAGGTCTAACAGGAAATTTCCACAAAATAGTCCACATGTCGATGGTGAAAATTGAGGTTGAGGTCCTCCTAGTCTTTATAAGCAAGGTAGAGTTGAAGGAAAATGGTCAAACAGACCAGATCTCCAAGGCAAAATGTGCTTCCAATAATTTTTATATCCATGCAACTCAAAATTTATACATAGTTCATTTGTACACTATTTACAACATAAAAAATGCACAAAATAATGTAAAGACTATTGTGTGAGGCTCACTGTCATACTTACGCTGAAAGTGAGTTAAAAATCAGTGTTGGCAACTGATAACATAAACAATAAATATAACAGTATTCCTCCAAGATATTAATGGTGCGATATAAACCTTACGACATTAATGTAAATCACAGGAACATAAAAAGGGGATTTTAGTGTATTAACCTTTTAGATCTACAAATAAAATATTACCTTTATTGAATGCTAGCCCCTTCATAAGATCTCTGACAACATTATTTCCCTGCCTCTTCACTTGAGCAACATCGTTGGCAATTTTGGCAGAAATTATTCGCAACCTCTCTGGAATAAAGAGAGTTTGATATAACAGCTCTCGAATCCAAGTGATGCAGCGCTCATATTTTATAGGTTCCAACTGAAAAAAATATATTGATAAGAATCATTCCATATTGATTTTGATGAATTACTGTTTATCTTTTGAAACCTGTACTAACAACTAATGTTGCACGTATATTTAATGGTGTATAACTGTATAATAGTCCTCACTTGCAATAAAAGAGCAGCAGTATGAGAATAGGGTCCACACTGAAATCGTGATGATCCCTCAAGTCCAATTTTTGTGACAGCAGCCACTGTGTCCATTTCCAACTCAGCCACTACGTCTTCATATGGCACCACTGCATCCCCTCTTTTAATGGGCAATTCTAGGAGAGATTCCAGAAGCACAGGTAGATAAGGTCGCATTTCTCGGCTCACACATGATGTGTCCATCAGAACATACATCTGTAAATATACAATTCATTTCTTTGTTGAATAATTATTTAAACAGGATAACAATGCATTTTGTTTAATTTTCAAAAGCTTATTTCACGATTTACAATGAATAATTAATTTTGTACTTTTTCTCTTTACACAATTCAATTTTTAGAGATTACAGGCTATATTAATATCTTACTGTGAATGTAAATGAACTGTGAAGTTAAACGATCAATAAGTAAGGACCATAATGAATATTAGATGTGTAAGAATTAAAGAGATTAAAAGGTCGCAGATTCTGTTGTGAAGTTTCAGACCTTAAAGAAGAGATATCTACACTTCAAGTACATGCCTTGGCACTAATTTTAGTACATTAATCATTTCAAGAGCAAAAACAAAACAAAAATCCTGATATTCTGACATTCTCTATTACCTTGATTTCCCACATACGACATGTGTATTTTTAAGTTTGGATCTACTAAAGTTTGTTTAAAGTTTGTCTGTAACATGTCCTGGGATACAAGTGTTTTCTGGGGTAGTTGCACTGCTTTCAATGCGAGTTCATTCCAGAGTACTGTGGAGAACTTATCCAACTATAGACGGCAAATTTCAGAAGAGTATTCAGAGAATTTTCAATCTATTAGATTACCAACTCTGAGCCACAGAAATTTGTTCTATTGGGCCTCTGTCATATTTGTTCACAGTGTCTTTCCTTTCTCCCAACACAGTTAAGATAAAGTTATGTAATGCCGCGTGGAAATTTTTGGCAGAAAAACTCTTAATTACAGAGCCCTGGTAATGAAGGTTGCTACATTTAGGGTAAAAAATCCTCTTATCGTATGGAGTATCCATCTTTTGTGGGTCCTTGATACTGAAAAAATTGAATGATGTCAAATATCCAATAGTCTGTCTGTGAAGAACACTAGTAGCTAAACCGTTCAATTAGTTTTCCCAAAATTGATATTTCTTAATTGATCTGGCTGATGTCACGGCTCTTTGAACTTGAAACCGATATTTCAATTATGGGGGGTAATGCAGAATGATGCAGAATGGTCATGTTCATTGAAAACTCATGAAAATAGCAAAGTTCAACATTTTTTTGGAGTCTTCCAACAACTAAAATATTAAAGAATGAGATTTTTTCACTTAATGAAATCTGTTCCATAAAGATAGATTTTGAAATAAAGTCATGTACAATTTTCCAAAAATTTGAGAACTTTTCGTGCAATTTTGCATGAAAATATAGGGGGGAAAAGTACATCCTATTTTAGCACCACTAGTTTTCTATGACATGTTACCACTTTGAATTTGATAGGCCAAAGACTTTCTTTCTTTCTTCTGTTAATGTGCATTATTATTCTTGTTTACATGTTATTTGCAGGCATGTTTGTTTCATATACTTCACTATTCGCAATTTCAATAGTTTATGTTGTGTTTTTGTAAATTAGTTTCTATTTTCTATTAAAGTGTTCTGAAGAAGGAAATTGAAAAGTACAAACTGAATATTTTTTTCAATAATACAACACTTTATCACATTCAAATTTTTGGTACCTTGAAAGACACGATAAAGAGATTCCTCTGATTGTCCATATTTTCTCAGTAAGAGTATTGAATAATAAGAATACTTAATATAAATTTATTTATTTCCTTTCTCTTAATGGCTACTTCTATCAATTAATATAAATTTGACAGCAAATCTCAACTGTCTCCTTGCTAGATAGATTCGTACAATCTCATGCATATAACCTCTGTATATAATGTATATAGCCCCTGTATATAATGTATATTATTTCTCTAAATTTATGCACATAGCCCCTTGTATATAACAATAAGAAAATGTTCCTAAATCTTCATCACATTTAGGAACATTCCAAATCTTAGATATTGTGCATCCAAGACCCTGCTATCTAGTAACCCCCATTGTCAAAATTTTAGTTTTTATGTATCACTACTCTACATCTGTTTACTATTATTAACTATGCCGTATATTGCATTTGCCGATATTATTTATTCAATATTATATTTTGTTTTAGCAATATATATTTTTATCAACAATATCAATTTATATTTTGCACTATTTTATCATAAAATTGTAACCATTACTTGCTCAGTCACTAATTGTATTTAGTATATTTAAGTATATTTAAGTTTCCCTATCCCTATTTCCCAATAATTCTCCTCCCCTCTACTCATGTCGAAAGGACCCATCTACACCTCACAAGAGCTTCATCACCACCCAACGCCAACCTCCCACACCAACTCAAACGACCAACATCATAACCCCAAGAAGACTACCATCAACTTCAACCATGACGCCCAACCACCACCTCCTCAACAAAAAACCCCGCCAAGTGGCAACGTTTTTCTGGAAAGCAAGCAAGCCATGTGACGAACCATATTTAAAAATTACAGAAAATCTCAAAGTATAAATTTTCACTACACGGCTCGAGCCCAAGCAACTGTGCAGGAAAACTCGCCGCATTGGGAAAGAAATAGCTCTTCAGAAAACATGTAGACAATTCTAGACAGGACCTTGAGTACTAAAAAACACCAGAAGCTTATATATACGAGACACATGAAGCGACACCGGGGAATTCTGAGCTGACATCGCCAGTGCCAGGTTCAAAACAAGCCCTCATGCAGTCGACCGTTGTGTGAGACCATGAACCAAGGAGGAGCCGCAACACCTCTGTAGGGAGAATTTGGTGCCGTGGTAAGCAGCTGAAAAGATCTAAAAGAGCGCCTCTCGACTTCCGTTCTTCCTCTATCTCTCCCCCCCCCTCCTTTCACTTACTCTTTAAATTATGTAAAATGGTGACGGTTAGGACATAAACATAAAATCTATATTGCAACAGACTTGCTCGTAATCATTTCCCCCTCACTCTTCCTCTCGACCAGTCAGTACTCTCAACGTGCAAAATCTCCTGTGTGAATTACACTTGAAACTAGCATTTACACAGGAGGGATGTCACATCAAGATTATGTGTTATCACATAATTTATTCAAATGCAAGGCCTCCAGATGCTTGAAATGTGTTCTATGATTCAATGATAAACGCAACACATCTATTACAGTTGCTAATTCACTAAAACTCTGAGGTTTATGAAAATGTTAAGATGGTTCTGCAAAAAAATTGTTATCATCAGCAAAAATGGCCTTTATGTGTTGATCTAAGATGGAAATCTACAAGATTACATTCATCACGTTTTGGAAACTGGTCTATCACCCTCTCCACAAGTGCTACAATTGACAGAGATATTTACAATGTTAGTTAATTGAAATTAATACAAAAATAAAGATTACTACTAAATGAGTTCAAGATGAAAGTTGATAGATATATTTGTTAATACAAACAAATGTTAATTCTCTTTGGCCATAACTCGGACAATGGTCAGTCAATTTACTTACATATACAAAATTGGTGTGCACATTGTCCAAGTGCATTTGAACTGGAATTTTCTTCAGGTCAAATTTAGGATTTTGTTCAATGGAATCACTAGTACAACTTTGAATAGGATGAAAATTAATTGATGCAGTACTTGGAATAGATACCGATGTAAGCATTTCTTCTGGTGGTGGTTTCTAAACAATAAAATATTACAAAATAATAAAAAAAATATTTTTCATTCAAAAATTTAAAAATCTAGTGAATTACAACTTAAATATAAGAAAATATTTCAACTTGACAAAATAAATACATAAAGTGAAGAGCTTAGGGCAGTATTGAGATAAGCGGCACTAATTACAACAAGCCTCCTGTTTTTCGTAAATGTTAATGTCTCTATTTGGGTGAAAGTGTGGCTTTTCTTGTTACTAAATATGTCTTGTTCTTATTTATACAGGGCTTGTGGCAGTAACAAAAGAACAAACAGTTTGGGGCAATAACGAAATTGATCAAAATCATATTAATATTTACATACAGGGGAAGGCATTTTAAATAATTGGTGTATTTTACCTTTTTACTGTACAGCCCTAAATCCTTCAATTAATGTTTAATGCAAATATTACAAACATTCAGGGCACAAGGATGCCCTGAAAAGAAACTTACAAAGTAACTTGATATTACCTCATTTTCTGTTGTTGCATTTTTCAACTTCTCCCCATTTGCCTCCAGTCCTTTTGTACCCAATGAGTTTCTTTGGGCTTCTATACGTTTCTTCTCTCCTACAGCCATTGCTTGTTGCTCCTCAACACTTGGAATACCTCGAACTGTTACACTTGGAGCATCTACCAAGTACCGCTTGAGAAGATTAATCCAAAATTCCTCGGGTTCATTTTCCATGATACGAAGATCTTCCACTTGATTCAATCGGTGGTCCAACTATTAAGAAACAGAAACACCTGACAATACTAACAACTAAAATAAAAAATTCACTCAAAAATGTTAGTAAATTACTTACATCTTCTTTTGTATTACCATACAACATATCACCTATTATCATAAATGCAACACCTTCATGGGGACTAGTTTCAAGGTGACTCAAAGACTCCAAAATCTGCCTATGAATCACAGTGCGTAACCTTTTCATATCCAGTTTTTCATCCCCACTAGCAAGTGCTCCCAATATCTGAGTTAAACGTCCTTTCACAAAATTCAATTTATCATTAGGAACGTTTTCAAACATCAGATACAACATAGATTCAGAATTCTCAGCCAATGAATAACACACCTAAAATAAATAAGAAGAGTCATGAACTGGCCAGATACACTTACACATTCAAAGTACAAATATATAATGATTTTTTTGTTTATACCTTGCTTGCATAAGGATCTTCAATTTCTACAAATTCTTTCTGTAGTGGACTAACCGATGTATCAGTTAAATATTTAAGAAGTACAGAGCAAGCACACATTCTGCAATACAAAGACTAACATTATTATGTAATAAAAAATGCATTTCTCTAAAGAAAGAGAGCAAACTGAAAAATATTTGGACAACATTACTCTAAAATTGTCTAAAGTTGTGCAGCAACAGTAGCTACAAAATTTTAGAAAATTTGGCCCTAAAACTCAGGTCAGAATATCTTCCAAGAAAGTTCTAACAAGGTGTAAATTATCTTCTCGATCTATGATCAATGTTTTTCTCACTTTTAATGCTAAAAGAAAAGAACTATCTGAAACCACAAGCTAAAATTACAGTTTACTGAACTGGAGAAAAAGTGATGACAAGCATCTTACTGCAAGAATATCCCTGATCTATTTATCAAAATGGGTATTCCAGAATATTGAAGAGAGGAATGAAGGATTTTAACAGACAGGCCTCCAGATGATTGAAATGTGTTCTATTATTCAATGGTAACCGCAACACGTCTAGTATAACTTTGCTAATTCACCAAAACTCTCTGAGGTTTATGAAAATATTAAGATGGTTCTGCAGAAAATTTGTTATCATCAGCAAAAATGGCCTATATCTTCCACCTCAGCACATTAACCTAGGCCTAATGAAGCAATTTGTCAAAGTCGTGAATAGAAATGGAAATTGCTTAAAGTATACCTGCAGATCCTTTCTTAAACTCAATAATGAAATATAGAGGTCAGTCCTCAAGTTTGGAAGCTCATCAATGATTCCAACTTCCCCACTGTAATGACAGACCTGAAGTGCCTGAAAAGGTTTGTTTCTGTTGTAACGAATTTCTTGGGCAACCAAAAAGGACCTGACTATCAAGTATTGGCCTACAACATTACAAATTTTCAATAGATTGGAGCTAGAAGGAGCATAAAGATACATTTCTTCCACAACCACATACAAAGATTTCCTGAAAATCTTGATGATTACAGTGGGGAATGAGGAGAAGGCCTCCATCAGATATCAAAGAGACAGAGAAATCACAGTAGATGAGACAGTGACATGATGACAGATGGTTACTGCTGGAGTGTGCAATGCTGTTCTCCTAGTGTCACACACAAGAGAATCAAACAGATTTCTAAAACAATATTTGCAAACTGAATGTTATATACAGACTCCAGTTTCTGTTTGTGTGTTCCGGTGTTCTTTTGTGGTCATGTATTCAGTTTGAACATTATTTTTTAGTGTTGACATTTTTTATGTCACATTTGCGGTTTTTTTTTTCTTCTATTTTTCTACACTCACTCAAAAACTAGAACCAATCAAACAAAACCAACGACATTTGCATTTAGCATCATGATGTTATCCTAAAATCACTTTTATGTAGTTGGAAATAAGATCATTGTTCCCAATGCAATCTTCCTGATAGGCAGAGTATGTACAAAAAAACAAAACACAAGAAAAATTTTAAAAACTCTGGCAGCTATATGCAAAGAAAAGACGATTAAATTACAAAGAAAAGATTGTTTCCTTCCGTGTAAGTGCAGAAATAAAATTTAGAGTTAGAAAAAATGTATGAATTATTTAAATTATTATAATTTTTTTTACAATAAATACTTTTTAAGGATTATTTTTCATTTCTTACATGCTTTTTTGTTGCCTATTTTAGTGAAAATGTGCCTTTTTGCCGATTTCAGGTAAAATAAATGCCTGAACTTCTGGGCTCAACTTATAAACATACCTGTACAGTTCTTTTACGGCAGAAGGGCCTCGCCAAGCAATATACACCATTCCATTGTCCTCTTCATCACAGGGGTATGGAACCCTCAAATCAACTGATTCGGTTAGAGCAGGAACAGGAGACTGCCAAGGCCTAGAAAATGGACCTTGACCACCCTGGAAAGGATAGTAAAAGTTTAATAGATTTTAAGAGCAAACGCATCGTACGTTTCTGAAATCATAATTAATGTGATATAACGAGGCCCATCAAAAACATTTTTCAGTGAAGCAGCATCTTGATCCCTAGTTATAAACAAAACACACACAGAATAAAAACAGTACGTATACAAAAATATGTAAACACTCCATGTAACAAGTGGAAAATTAGTGATATTTTATTTTCACTGCGATCGAATCGCTTTGGGTAACGGAGGGAGACAACACAACGCCCATGCAAGCACGCTGCACCGCCCTGCTTTTGGCGAGAGAATCATAGGCCCGGGCGCAACGTATTTCCGCCCGGCAGGGATGGGGATCGCGCGGGGCCGACAGGGCCTCGAGTGTGCGCCGGGGCGGAGACAACAAGTCGGTTGGCGTACCTCCAGCGGGGAATACAAGACGCGGCGGACTCAAAACGCCCGGTCCAAAATGTTTTGATTTTTTTCTGCCCCGAAGCCGAATATTTTATAAGCCGCGTCTTTTATGCTAAAACCTTGTTTCCAGTGAACTGTCACGACGCATCCCGTGGACAGCAGGGGTAGAAGCGCCCCCGACACCCAAATGCATGGAACGTTGGTCGCCCGGTCAAACCGCGCATCGATTAATGCGAGGACGTCCTCGCTTCCGCTTTCACAATTTCAAAATAAGCAATCTGGCACGCGAAGTCGCGTAAGAAGAGAAATGAGATTCCTGATTCAGAAGGCATGTCTACCAGATCGGGTAGGTCTTGGTTCTAAGAGAAGACAAATCATGGTTCAGGGACGAAACATTGGTTTTCGTTCTCAGAGCAGAGGGATTGCGGTTATCTGAAGTGCCTTTTCGTCTCACGAGAAGCCACTTCAGAATGAATACTCAAGGGAAAGAGAATTTGGTTCTCTGACTTCTACTTCCTATTTCGTGCTTAGTCCAGCCAGAATGGTTAGGTATCTCGTAATGGTCTTCGCCAGGATGCGACCGATAAAAACAGATTGTGAAGTTGAGCAGATGCTCGCTCGAACCTCGCTATCAAGTTTTTCGCGCAACGGAACAGAAATAAAATAATAAATTCTAATACAGCGCAGTATATTGTACCCGGGAAATGTGACGACACGCGGCCGCTTTGAATTGAAGAGCGTCCCGGCAAAGACAGCTGGGGCCTTGTACCTGCGAAGGCCCGCGCTCACTTCAGTCCATCTGCCCTGGTGAGGAGATGCATATATGTAAAAATATTTATAGATAATAAATTCCCCTTCTTCACAGGGTTACTGTAGAGAGGACAAAAGAAAAAAGGAGATGCAGCTGCACGACTGCAGCAAGGAACATTATCTCTGGTCATTTGCCACACACACACACACACACACGCACGCGCGCGCGCAGAAAAAGGCGTAAGACCCAAAAAGGGTCTGAAATTTGAATGTGTGGTCATTGCCATTTTCTTTGTTACTAAGGCTGTTAATCTGCCAAGTTTAACATACTAGGGGGATTACGGATTTTAATGAAATGTCACCTTTTTTCGTTCTAGAACAATGTCGTTTAGTATAGAAATTAATTTTGTTGTGACATAACCAAATGACATATTTATACGTCATTTTTTTGTATTTTTCGTCGATTTCGACTTAAGTCATTTTTTACCTTTCTACGCCATTTTGAATGCATTTTCGCTCATTCCATTGATTTAATTAATCGATTAATATAATTTTAATGGTTCTTGCTTAAAACAATATTTACAAGGTGCAACAAATGTTCAGCACAGATTTCCTTAGTAGCCTATTCGATTACTTTGCTCATGTATTCTAATGTCAGCAGTAGTTGGCACTATGTAAAAGGTTCCAGTGACGCCGATCGGCGCTATTGTCAGTTCGGCAGATTTTGCGATAAAGGCAAATATTTTCTTTTAAAGAGCAGTTAAAACCAAAAGTTTGCAGGCTGAGTTCGCCTGAACAAAAGAATCCTCGATTACATCAGTAACAGACCCAACAGCATGAGTTGTTCATCTGAAGTCACCAAATCTCTATCTTCGCATGAGCTTTGCATTTTCATTTCACTAATTCGAGCGTTATTAAAAGCCCAAATTCACTCAAATCTTGACGGTATCGAATTCACTATTTAGGATGTTTGGGGAATTTATTTTCATTTTATACTCGTAGACCCGGCAATGCTTCGCTATTGCAGAACATACACAATCGGTCACGTGATTGCTACGTAATTGCCGAGTTTTACGCTATGGATTTTTTTTATTGAATGCGTCTCCTAACTCCATAATGAGCTTTTTTTAATTTTATTATTTTATTTACGTCAAAAACAGTTAAAACTGTGTGTGACGTGCTATGGGGAAAAGTTAATTTGAAGTTATATTTATTTCCAGAAGCAAAACAAGGAGCCATCTCAGCATTTGCTCTGGAGCAAAACAGGGAAACTGGACGAAAACCTGATCGAGATGCGGGTCATTGACCCAAAAGCTGAAGTACAATACTTGTTACAGGCTCTTTACAATTATACAACCCAAATGGTATAAAATCCATTAAATGTCATTGTTAAAATTAATATTATTTTCCTTTTGGATGCTCGGTATAGTCTCTAATTGTATAGAAACAGTGCAGAAAAGATTTTACTGTAGGACTTAAAAACTTTTGTATCGAATTTTAATCGGTTAATGTCATCTGCAAGGTTTATTGCAAAGAATATTCGTATCATCGGGCAAAGAGAACTGTTCTTTTCTAATCCTCGAGGGCATATCGTTTACGTACAGTAGGAAGAGAATAGGACCTACAATCGATCCCTTCGGGACTTCACATGCAAATGGCAAAGAATCAGAAAGGTGTGTAGAACGCACTGGAGTAATCCTCCGTTAATAAGCACTCTCTTGGGGCCGCTGTGTCGTCGTCAGGGAATCGCCGACAGGTTGCGTCTTCGAGCTCGCGTCTCGCACCCGCCCTGCGTCATCTACCCATCGGCCACAATTGGGAAGGAATAAGGATAGGGGTGATGTTTGGGACGCTTTACAGGGATTGGACTAGCCTCTGTGAAGCAAGAAAACTCGTTTTGTCGTAACAAATTTCACATGAGGTTCTAGGGGGATTCTATGGAAATTAAACCCGGAACCTCAGTGGTGAAAGGCAACTTCGCCACTGAGCCTCGAGAGCACTAATGGATGGAACAAATGGACTATACTAATGGATGAAACATTTTCTCGCAAGTATGGGTTTGTTCTGTGTCCTAGTTTGGACATGGTTGTCAAGTATCCTATAGTTAGGACGTTTTCTCTCAAATTTAGGCATGCGTTCGCTATGACACTAGCATGGATTAATTTGATTTACTTATCCCAGATTCAAGAAATAATTCCAACCGTTATTTCGCAATTGCAGGGGCAGAATACTTGTATGCAGTGAAGGCGCGCTTAATCCTTGAATTATCCGTGTTATTTCTTTTTATTTGACTGTTAGTCTGTACAACAGAAATTGCATGTCTGTCATAGCGACTCCCGTCTCTCAGGTCTACCCTCGATTTCGGTACTTTTGAATAAATGTGAATAGAAATAAAAATAATAATAAACAAAAATTACAATGTAGATAACTGCGGCTACATGCATAAAAAGAACCAAGAAATTCAAAATTATAATTTACTTTTAGTTTACGAAATAAAACTTTCCACAATGTTACCAGTAATTGTATATCGCGTCATGCAAATTCCAGTCTCCTCCTCATCGCTTCGCCTCTGTCCATGAAGCAGTGCCGTGGGAGACGCCAAATTTGCGCAGGACCTGCGACCGCTTCCGATTACATACGACGAACTCAGTTTTATCGCCTTCCGCTTGCCGAGTTCCAAGAGATGTCACAGCAGGAGAGGATCCAACCGATTATTTTTCGGGAGTTACAAAATACTCCCCCATTCCGTAAGAAATTTTGAAAAATAATAATTTCGGCGCTGCCATCTTAAATTCTGTGTAAAAGAATACTTTAAGAGAAATTCAATGGTGCAAACCAAACTTCTATCAGACGTCATGAAAATTCCAGTCTCCTCATCACTTCGCCTCTCCCTGAAGCGGTGCCGTGGGAGACGCCAGATTTGCACACAGGACCTGTAGTCGCATCCGATGACATACGAGGGTCTCTGTGTTATCGCCTTCCACTTACGGAGTTCGGAGAGGTGTCACAGCAGGAGCGGATCCAGCCGATTATTTTTCGGGAGGTGTATATTATTGTATAAATATATTTATGTAAATAATAAATGTATTTGTTATTATATTTTATATTATTTAGAGATTCACCAGATGACATATTTTGAATAATGCCTCAAACAATTTTAAGATGGTATTCGAAAGAAGACGGAAATATGTGAAAAAGATAGTTATGTACTACTATTACAGACCGTTTACCTCGGTCTGTAATAGTAGTATAGCATCTCTAGTGTGATATCCGTTGAAAATAGATTGAGATGCAAAGTGACGAACGCATAAACCGACTGTGTGGCTTGCGTGTCCCACAAGTCCCGCCTGCTCCGTCGGGGCTGGTCGCACGCCGCCGGGCCTGGCCATGCCGCCGCGCTGACAGAGGGCCCACAACGGGCGGGTGGGTGACGCAAAGGCGCAGAAGGTGAAGGGGGGGGGCGAGGTGTTTTCGTAAATTTCACTTTACGACGCTCCTATTCGTCCGATTGGCATGGTTGTCACGGGATTCAGGAAGCATGTCGCCATCGAGCTATAAGCCCACATTTTTTTAATTTGTTCTCGGAAGTTTGAGAACTAATTTCATATACGCGTTTTTTGCTAGATTATTGGAAAAGGGTCATCGTAGCGTAAATTCTATTTTAAATTGGCGTCAAATGCCGTTTACAGATCGAAAATCGGACAATTGGTTCAGACGTTATCGGTAAAGTAAATTTTACTTATTTTGGTGCTGCCACGTGGTGGCTACAAATTGTACTAGTGTCGGGACATTTAGCCTTAAAAGTCACGTGATTCTCGAGTTTAGATGAATATAAAACAACTTTATATTGTCGGTGTTTCGGTCATTTATTCGTCCTTCATCAGGATTCCAATAATATCTTTACAGGGAGTATGTAGAGAAACCACTTAGAATTACGTATAACTAATGTTACAAGTTGATGAAGGCATCTTGCGACAAGAATATAAGGTGTGAAGCTGAGGGAGCCATCACTTCACTCATTTTGCTATATAGAAATCATAACGCTACGGCGCAAGCAAGTGAAGATATTTGGCGCAAGCCCTGAATTCTTCCATTTCCTTCCGAGTGTGAAGAGAAAAAATACGCAAGGTTGCACAAAGTACGCTCATTGCGTAAAAGAATCGAAGGAAAAGAGGAGACATGTTAGGCGCAGACGTTTTGAAAGCAGTGGTTGTTTGTAAGCTCCCTCATAATGAATTATACATCGACACATTTACACGGTAATTTATAGGTAAAGTGACACTTCACCTGACGAGGCGCCACTACTTCTGAACTCTGTTTGTTTATTTTCGAACGTCCACAGGTAAGTTTGAGGCAATGTCAATTAACTCCTGAAACCGAAAATATCGATAAAGAACACTTACTCGCGGAGGCTCAATGGGTCGCAGGAAATATTGGCCATTCCACCGCGATAATTTCACAATCTCTCCAACGTCGGCCACAAACAGAAACATCCGGCTGTTCCCTCTCCTCTTTGATTACATGCGCGGGTAGCCAGCTCTGGACAGATCCCTACAAAATATCGAGGTGAAATTTTCACCGAAGAATTCTTGTCATAGGAGCGCAACAGTTGTGGTTATTGCTTTTTGATAATTTTTACTCTCTCGCCTTAAGAAGGTACTTCTCGTAAGAAAAAGTTTTGTAATAATGCGATTTCTCTGGTAACGATAAAGTGAATTAATCCAGTTGTTAATTTCAGAAAAAATATCACTTAATACGTGGTGTATCCACAATCCAGGTTCTGTGAGCCCTTTATGAAAACTCGACTGACAGCAAAACGTGTCTGGCAGTGAACAATGCTAGAGGCTAAACCGTTCAGTTGATTTTCTCCAAAATTGATATTCCCTGATCGATGACATGTCGCGGCCCCTTGAATTTTAAACAGATATTTAAATTTTGGAAAGGTACTTGTACTTTACAGGAAGTCCCTGGGACATTTTCAAAAAAATGACTCCATCGTTTTTTATTAAGTTTTGTTGTTGCATAGTGTGAAGGACGTTTAAGAGAATGGAGCAGATCTCATGTTTGATGCAATGTGCGATTTTTCGGAAACTTAAACAAAATTACAATTATCCCGCGTTTTCCTACAACTACATGGGTGCATACTTCAATATCGGCACGTGTTCAACTCAAAGTAACACATTAACATTTCAGCTCAATTTTACAACTCAATTTCATCCACCGCAGTCCCGCACTTAAGTTTGTAGGAAACATCAATAAGCTCACAGATTAGTGCACAGCTGGTGTAATGGGGTCCACACAACCATAATTATTGTTTCTTTCGTGGAAATTCAATCGCTTTAACTTACAAGCAGAGGCAGCTTTTCCACAAAGTCAGGAAGTAATAGAATGGAGAGTTGCCTGATCCTTGACCTGAATGTTCATTTTTTGCTATCTTAGAAATTACAACATAAAATTAATATCATCCTTGTCTGTCTTGGTGACACAGAAGAAAGTTAACAGAAGCCACAGTCAAAAGAAATTAGGCAAATTAGTCTCATTTTTAAGTTTACAAAAGTAAAATAGATACAAATTGGCATTAATGATGAAATAGGTATTTTAGGCGCTATAAAATTGGCAAGTTTTAGTTCAAATAACCAATTGTCTACTGCAGACATTCTGTGTCCAAAGGGTGTTGCCTTGTTTCTCTAGGTTATCACTAAAACTATTGATTAATAGTGAAAAAAGCATGCATCACAGAAGAAAAGCATGTATTTCATGACATGGTAGCTGATTTGAATTGCACATACACAAGTCTCATTTAAACTAAATTTTTTTCAAATAAGTTTTTTCTCGGGAATTACTGGATCTGCCATCTTTCATTAAAAAAAATTCATAGAATCTGAGTTGGAATAGAATACATAGAATTTTTGTTTTTTTGAGGTGGTTATTTCTGGAGGACACGATAGATGGATGTGCAGTGACTTAATTCAGTGGTCCTGAGTACTGCAACTGAAAAATTTCATGAGTAACACTTGCAGGGTCCATGCCAGTCCTTATGATTCACTGTTGCTCATGGTAGATTGGGTGGTTTGTCACAATGAAATCTTTGGGATTTTTTCAAGTACCCATGCAGTCTGCCAAAGATGTTTGTGTTTTATTTCTACCAAAGAAAAATTGCAGAGGCAAGGGCATTAAGATGTAAGCCTTGGCAATAATTAAAAACCAAGAATGTCACTCATCATTAAAAAATATAATTAAATTAATTTTCTTGATATTCAGTGAAATCATAAGGAATTTGTACATAATCTAGATCCACTCATACCAGTAAATGAAATTGATTATGCAGAACCATGAGGTTCATTACTGAAAAAAATCACATAGCTGACTAATACAAGAATTAGACTCATAGCGATGGTTTGCATCCTGCATAGGCATAGTTGTATTTGTGATTGCCCCTTCACCTCATCATCATCATCATCATCATCATCATCATCCTAGGGCCTCATAATTCGTAATTCAAGGCATAACAACCTTGTCTTACCAAGGAATACAGCCGAAAAGTTGATCCCCATAATGACAAATGTTAATCTCTTTCCAGGATAGAATCTGACTGGGCCTCTGAAGAAAACGTGTAGCGTGATCAGCAATGAATGATATGCAAATGATGATGATGATGATGATGATTATGGATAATAATAATAATAATAATAATAATAATAATAATAATGTAATTTCATAATTATTATGTAAAGGTAATACAAATACACCTCTGTGAACAATCAATTAACAAATAAGATAACTGTAACCCTACCTTAGAAGTTATTTTGTCTTCCACAGGAGCTAAAGCTCTGAAAACATCATCATGCTTTACTTGGCCAGTGATAATGAGAGTTAAATTTTCTGGTCGGTAGAACTCTCTGTGATATTGGCGAACCTGTAAAAACATTTTTGTAAAATGTAGTAATGTATCAACTATCCCAGTTACCAGAGGTTTGAACACTATTAGAGTGCATGAAGTTTAAAAAAACATAAAAATCACTAAGTCACATGACTGAATGTAACAATTATAATTTCTCCTAACATTTTCCTATCATACTAATTATTTTACAGAATTTAAAAATGATTACCAATTAGATGAAACTAAAATATCTCAGGTTTTCAACTTATAGTTATCTCAAATGAAGAACGCACCACAAAAACTGCACTGAAAATTATTTTCTGCTCTTACGCTATGCTTTCTATAACCCTATGCTTTCTATTTCTGCCAGAAGTTGCCTTTTTTGATTTAACATCAAAACTCAGTTAAGAAACTGAACATGACGTATGTGGGAGGAGTAGAATGTTACAAGTAGCACACCTGAAATTCTTTTCTTAAATAATCTATTTTCAATGTGTGGAGTTTTCCAGACTACTGAGGTAAGTAATTTGAGTTTTTCAGAAAAATTAGTCAAATTACTTAAATTTAAAATTAATAGTACACAATATGCATGTAGCAATGGCCATAACTTATTCCAAAAACTATCCTATTGTTTAATACGTTGACTGCCAAGGAGATAAGAACTGATGGTTTACTACTATGCCAAAACGTAAACTAGTAATGCTAGAGAATGACAAGACTTTCTCATACTACTTAGGTTCCTTATTTCTTTAGTATGGGTTAGCTGTTCTGATTTGTTTCTCTCTCTTCCCAACTGCCATCTGTTGGTTTCTAAAATACATTTTTTCACATTTTCAATTTTTTCAGGCACCTAACCGAAATATGACTTTTAGAATATTAGAAAGAAATATGACTTTGTGAATAAAAGAAATTCTGATCCTATACGCAAATTTTCAATGAAAAATTTTTGGGGCAAATTTTAGAACATTTCTGAAAGTGAGCAATTTTAAGCTCATTTTCTCAAAATATTGAGTTTTCGAGAAACTTCATAAGGAAACATTTGAAGTACTTGTATACACAATTGCAATAATGTTAAAAATGCTTGTAATATAAATATTAACAATGTGGGCGATATTAAAAACACAAAATACAATACTATTGAATAATAAATAGATGCCTTATTTTCCTTGGCGAGACTTAGACCATCAGGCCTGCTCTTCCGTCCGACCTCGCAAATTTCAATATGCTCCTTTCAATCACAGGCGGAGAAAGGAGATATTTCTTGAGATATTTGAATTTAGTTCAGAGGCTTCATTTACACTTGATCTTTTACATGCAGTAAATCTACTAGCATAGGACAGCCAGCTTTACTTCCCCTCCGAAGGAAGGCCTACGAAGGATTTCCTTGCCCTTAAAAATCTATAGATTCGAACAGGTTGAACCCACAAACTTGGGTATAACAGTCTGACATTAACCTTTACACCATCGTCACCATACTATAATTTGGTAATTATTGAAAAAGACTAATTCAAACAGCCATTGTCATATTTTTCATTTACATATCAGTACAAGAAGCATGTGTGTGTTGGGGGAGGTGTATCCATAAAAATTACTGTTCGTCAACTAGCCGATTCCTTTTTAATTGATTGTACCAAGGAGGCTCCAAATACCAGAACACTGCAAGGTGTAATAAAATATAATTCTGAAGTAACAATACAAAGGCATCAAATTGGAGAAAATCTTTTACCTTCTCATTATTTGTACTTTCTCTCAAATTCTTCATAATCCCTCCAGTCTCTGACTTATAACCGCAATGTCCTGGATATACAGCTCTTATCATTGAAAGATACGTTCTTGATTCTCCCATATTTTCACGGCCTTGCATTTCACAATAAACAACACCTGCATCTTCCCCTTCTTCCGTCACATGATGAACCTCAGTAATAAATGCTGAGTCCTAGAGACAAATGGTAGATACTTATTAATCTACACAATTGTTTTCTCTTTAGAGAAACTCAAAACAATAGATCAAAACACTGAAAAATATCAGACTAGTTTTAAACACCTTACTGTTAAAGTAGGGTAGAGGATATGATCCAAATAGATAGGCATCAAAGTGAGGAATCCCTCACTTCCAGCAGTAGTCATGGTATAACAAGTGTGGTCAGTATCTGAAAATAAAATGTTATAATTTCAAACTTCCAGTTTTTGTCACAGCATTCTTAAAATAAAAGCAAAAGTCTTACCAGTCCAGGCATTGGTTCCTGATGCAAGGCATCTGTTAGCAAGCAAGTCAAGAACGCCTTTGTACGGGTAACTTTCACTGCCGAGAAAGATGAGATGCTCCAATGTATGAGGCAAGCCATCATCATCATGTGCTTCAGTAGCTGTACAAATTTACAAAACGTGTAAAAACAAGTTATGTGGAAAGAAAAGTAGTTTCATGTACTTAAAAAAAAATTCATAAGCACTGTATAAGCTATAACTATATATAGAATAATTTAATTGCATATGTGTAAAGTAATATAAATTACATATATAGTGTACACACATAAATAAACACACACACAATACTACACATACAGTAATGTAAATTAAAATGCATATTCTGAGTTCTTCAAAATATCTTTCCATGATACTCTAATATATTCTCATTAAAATGAAAAACATCTAAACAATATTTCCAAAATTTCCCAACATACACAATTAGACTAACATCAATATGATCTTAATAAATTCTGTAAACAATATGTCAAACTAAACTGCATGAGAAAAAAATTAAAATTGATATAAAGTGTCTTCTGAACATGAAAAAAAAAATTGTTTAACCACTTTTCCTCCACTTAATTTTTTTTATTTGATAATTTCCCTCAAATCACTTCAAAAGTAAGTTAAAGCTATTTACATTTACATATGATAAAGGTGTTAACATTACAGAAATAATATTCCCTATCATACGTCCAGTATAAGGGAATAATAAAGCCCCCAAATACACCACAAACTCAAGAACATTCAAAATTTACACCTTTATGAATAAGTATATTAAAAACTTCCTATTGTAATAACTTCCTTTTATTTTCACATGAAAAAAATGGCAAACCCAGTATCACTAGTCAGTAATTCCCAACATTATTAAGGAAGAAGAGTAAAAATTTGAGCAGTTACACGTACATATTTATCATAATTCACAGTTAAACATTTGTGAGGATACTACAGAGGAAATAAATTACTGGACAGTGTGTGTTAAATCCTCATGTTCAGTATTACAATCCATTCGTTTTAAAGGTTATGTTCCATCGACATTCCATAATTTTTTTTTAATACACCCCTTTACAATGTTATAGGATACCATCGCAATTTTTTGTCAATACTCGCAATCAACTAGCAACGTTTATTTACGACAAATATACTAAATCTTACCTAAGCAAAAGTAGCCGTTGACAACTGGCCCTTCCACTTCTGCAATGACAATCGTAAGTCCAGTAACGGTGGATTTGTACTTATGTACAGGAATTAAATCATTGGCTTTAAGAGAGCAAATTAGCTCATAATTTCCACTAAGAGGTCTCGCCGGCGAGCTGTCAACAGGAGCCATATTTAGTTAACTAAATTGACTGCAATCACCACTCGCCACTCACCACCAACCTGGTGCGTGTCTGGCAGTGTCTGGTGTTCACTTCATAGAATAGCAGATTCGTTGAATAGTTTAATATTCCGTGACGGAATATAGGAGTGGCGGTTAATATATCATTCCATATGACGCTTTTGGTTGCTTTTCGTTTCACAGTTTCAATGTGATTATTTTAATTTTGATCAGAGGAGTCCTCGATATTACAGAATAGCAATGTATTCTGATGGGTACATTATGTCAGCTATGCAATCTTTTATGGTGAAAAATGGGGCATTTCGCCCGTGGCATTGTGCATTTAATAGAATTATAAGCTTCATTCCACAAGAACAGCAAATCTGTTTTCCAGGGAATCTCTTGCTTAAAAATATTGGTTTGGACCTATAACCACAGTATACATATACTTTTCCATAACTCTCCATTCTCGTTTCTATCTAAATATTCGTTCACAGATGTGTCAGTACTACCAATACATTGTATTAGTATTGAAAATATTGATACTACGAATACGAATACTATTTGAATACGAATGTGGACAAATGAATGTACATTGTTATTCCAATATTTTTCGAATAACGAAAACTCTAGTGATGGCTTTTAGAAAAAGTATTTAAATTACTCTCTCCAAGAATGTTACATAAAGATGAACTCAATGGCAATGTATTTGTCGCATCATGGAAGAAAACGTAATTAAGATAGCTTAAAAGAGCATATGCAAAAATCTTCACGTGTTTAACTGTTTCAAGACATAAGATTGTAGGTAGACAAGCTAGATTCGCATTCATTTTCATTCATCTTTCAACATTTTAGTTGATAACGCAAACAAAAAATACAATTAAGTGATTAATTGCATGAAAGAACTCATTGATAAGTTATTCCTAATTCAGAAATCAAGCGGAATCTTTATTTCTACTTGATTTATAATGCAAATAATATAGGTATAGGTAAGAAAACGTGCATTACTTATACCATAAATACACTTAATGTTAATATAACATTCAGAAAAAATATCTTAACATACTATGCCCAGTCTCTACCTGCATTTGGCGCATTTTGATGTAAATGTCGAGTCCATATCCAAATTAGAACAACCACCAAACAGGTTGAATATTATCAATTTTAGCTGCAATGGGGAAAACACAAAAAACACTGAAGCAAAATTGAAACTGGATGCAATGAAATATTTAGTAATCTATTCTCATGAGAGTGACCTTTGAAAAGATCAGCAACTAGTAGAGCTAAAACAGCACCTACTTGCTCGCATTAATAACGGTTACGTAAAATTAGAATATTGAAGTTTTTGTCATTAACACATCTCAGCCATCACCTGTAATATTCATTACAAATCGTAGATCATTAGGAGTGAAAACTTAATTAATTTACAGCTAGCACATCAAAATAAATTTGACAATCCAAAATTGCGATCCATACACCCAGAAAATCGCCCAACATTGAAAAGTTATTCTGAGAATTGAAACTGTCGTGTTGAGGTGTTGCGTTACGGTGTAAGAGAATGGGTGTGTCATCTTGCGGCTTTTTTCTCGTATTTTCTGAAACCAATTTAAAAGCCTCTCGCTTCTCCATGCGGTGAATCGGACACGACTTGTATTTATAATGATGTTACGCGCAAATAATATGTAGATTTTAGTTTTGTACATTCATATTTGACAAACTTCGTAATTATGTAATATTAGAAAATATTTGGAAATGAATAATATGCAATTAGATGATGGTCAGGTAACAAAATTTCTAGGACTGTCAATTCAGTCAAACCTCAAATGGAATGTACATATAACAAAATTAAACACTAAATTAAGTTCATTATGTTACTCATTCAAAACTCTATCAAATTCTGTCAGCCTTCATGCAGCTCGTATGTACATTGTGTATTTTGCAAATGTACATTCCCGCCTGAGAAATGGTATAAACTTCTGGGGAAACTCATCATGTAGTACTCAGACCTTTAGGTTGCAAAAGAAAATTATTCGAATAATGAAAAAATGCCATCCGCGTTACCCTCGCAAGCCTCTCTTTTTTGAGCTTGGAATCTTACCATTGCCTTACCTATATATTTATGAATCTCTAATATTTGTCAAAAGTGACTTACTTAACGGTGGGAACATATTTTCATGCAATACTAATATTTATAATTACAACACACGTCGTAAAAATCACGTTCATCAAGTGTCAGTATTACTCGCGCAACTTTTCTTGAACGATGACCTTGCTTCTCCTTCTCTGGCACAAGAAACAGTTGAAGGCAAAAGCTCGCAGCTAGCACTGATGACAACATTACAAACACATCTTTATTGGCGAGAAATAAAAACTATTTTCTGTTGAAGATAAAACTACTGTTGATGATTTTCTCCAAAAAATCTAAAGAAATTACCGAAACAGTCGAAGATCTATCACAGGAGATACCTCGAACTCCTGAGAAAGTTAGAACGCAAATTATTGAAAAAATTGCGAAGGCTTAACCGATTCTCCAGAGATTGGCATTGCTTCATAAAATCTAGTGGCCGATTTCGTAACTAATACCCCCACTTTAGCCGCATTTCTTTAATCCATCGTTCAAGAAAAGTTGCGCGAGTAATATCAACAGCTCACTATCAGAAATCCACATGCAATACATGTACGTTACTTTACAATGCACTGCCAGATGACATCAAACAATTGAAGTCGGTTCACAAATTTAAGTTAAAAGTAAAATCCTTTCTCCTGCATAACTGTTTCTATACAATTAGAGACTATACTGATTATCAAATAGAAAAATAATGTTTATTTTAACAAAACATTGATACATAATGAATTACTTTACATTTGTATAACTTTTTTTAAAAGACTTAATATGTTTGTAACAAATAATGTACTTCAGCTTCCGGGTCTGTGACCCCCATCTCAATCAGGTTTTTGTTCAGTTTCCCTGATTCATTGAGCAAATGCTGAGATCGACCCTTGTTTTGCTTCTGGACGTAATCACTATGCGCACGTTTTGTTGAATTCTCCTTTTGCTTGTAATGGTAAGAGTAGAGGTAAGGGCGAGTTGCTATTTCGTTAGTAATGCAGAAAAATCATGCTTGCAATTCGTGTACCGACGCAAATAAATTTTCTATAACTCAGAAAGAAAAATGACTATTTTTCAAATATTACTAATCTTGCGATTTTTAAAATTTATTTTTATTTATATTAATATTTTACTCATCTTTCAACTGTTTATAGTTAAAATGACGGGAAGGGATTCTGGAATTCAAGAAAACGTGAGCAGATAATATTTTCCCCCCTACGTCACATACAGTTTTTACTGTTTTTTTGACTGAATAAATCTAAATCTAAATGGATCGCTCGTGGCTCAGAGCGTGATCGCTCGTCTTTCACCAAGAAGGTCCGGTTTAGATTTAGATGTATTTAGTAAAAAAATAAAATAAAAAAAACAGTAAAAACTATATGTGACGTATGGGGGAGAAGATCATCTGCGCACGTTCGATTCCCGTTGATAACCGGACAATCTCATGTGAAATTTGTTCTACCAAAACAAGTTTAGCTGCTTCTCAATGGCTAGTCCAAACCCGTGAAGTGTTCTGAACCCTACCCCTATCCTAAGACAAAAACGTTTGTGATTATTTTTGCAGAGCTAATTGTTATATTAATTTATTTTCACAATCATGCTAATGACTACACATAATCAGAACAAATGTGTGAGTTAATGTACCACCCGAGTCAGAACTAAATATCCGTCGTTAAGCTTGCCCGGCTACTCGTGACGGCAGCGCTACAGAACACTCGCTTACATGGTTTTGCCCTATCCTTAGAGCTGTAGAGTAGCCAGAGAATGGAGAAAGAAAGGGGGTTTTATTAAATCAAGAGAAAAGATAGACGTTAATTTTAATTAAGGCTTTAAGCTGCAAAATTTGAAAAGAAGATATTTGCCAGAATTTATTTATAAGATGAGATTTCTGATAAAAACAAATTACATGTCACGGAAATTCCAGATGATTACATAACCTACAAAAATCTCTGCTCTTATTCGTCCTACATCAATTAATTGGTACTTCTTTGCTGAGAGGAATCCAGGAGGCATACAGGAGAACGCCCTCCGACATCGTCGGATCTCTCGAAGCTGGCTGTAATTTTTTAAGTGATTGATTGGTGATTCTGGTCGCGTCAACTGCTAAGTCCATTAGTCTCGTAAGTGCAGTGCATGCTCTTCCCGTTTTCCTTGCGAGATGGCGGTGATCTCCCGCTAGATGGTGAGATCCGGCGCCGACCTTTCTGTCGGCCAGCGGATTTTTCCCCCAACCAGGTACCTACCACCAGCAGAGCACCGCCCCACCCGCAACAAACTGTAAACTACCAACCGGTTTTCTGGAATGTGTAGTAGTGAAGTGCTTGAAAGTGTGTGTATAAGCAAGGGTGAGGATAGTACAAGGAGGTAAGATCCCGCGCGGTCCGTGGCCCGTTTGTTTGCGAACTGCTCCGGCATTCGTTTGGTGTTGATCGGAGAAACCACGGAAAACTACCGATCAGAGCAGCCGGCCGCAAGAATTCTCCCCCAGTCAGCGATTGAATTCGACCTAGCTATGTAGCTAGTGTGGGAAATCCAGCGATCGTCGGAACTCCCGGTCAGAGGCACTGCTGTGTCTTCAGTTGATGCTTTGAGCCACCTCTCTCGTTGGGCTGGCCGTGGTCTTTACGGCAGGGAGCGGTGAGATTACAACTCTCAGGCCAGCGATTGGTCCGTCTCCGCGAATGACGCCAGGGAGGTGGATGAATGTTGCGCCTTTGTTCGTGCAGTCGCGATGCCGCTCGTCCGTAGGAGTTCGTTGAAGCTGCTTTGGGCTCGCCAGGAAACGCGGTCGTCGGAAGCCGAAAGTCAGCTTAATTCGCGGTCGCCACAATTCACCCCTTGCCTGTGAAGCGGCCTGGTGGCTGAGTCCCTGAATCCGTGTGCCCTTTCATTGGCTATGAAAAGGTTCTTCGTAACGAATTTCGGGCGCAGTGCTATTTGAGAGTGGGGTACCTCCATTTTTTTAAAATAAATATTCGGCTTTTTAGAATATTTTACTTCTTATCATTCAGAAATATATTACCTACATTAAGAATATTTAATAATCGGGAACATTCAGTTGGAGTTGGTAAAACGTTAGCACTTATGTAACCAAAATATGATGTGATATACATAACACATTATTTCTTCAATACACTTTTATAAATTTAATATATGATTTAAAAGTATAAATATTACCCGACGTATGTTTTTTATACAAAAAAATATGTTCAAAGTTTTCTGCCTAGTATTCAAATTTTGAAGGTATATCAGCTCCATTTTTAAAATCTTATCCCTAATGAGTAATGACTTTTGGTGACATAAATCTTCTCTTCCTAGATTCATATTTTATGATTTCAAGAACTGGACTTCATATGAACATGAGAGATGCCTGTTTAAAAGTTGGGGATTTGAAATATTTTTAAATAAAATAATTCATTTTGTAATGAATTTTATTTCGCTCAGAGATTCCGAATATTTTGTGTCAAATTTTTTCGAATACTTCTTGCTTCTCAAGTTTTAATGACCTTTTGGAGCCATTTGTTGCGGCACAATTAGCATATATGATTTGATAGCTCTGGTGCCAGAAGGTGACAGTTGATTTAGTCAACTATGTAATATTTGTGCTTAGCTTTTACATAGGTAAAGTCTTGGAGGTTCACAAATTATTGGTGGCTTATACATATTATTAAGTTGGGTTTGTCCAATATGTTCGGGCAAAGCATGTAACTGACAACTTATTTATTTGTGAGAGCTAAGTCAAAAGATTCTTTTTAGTGGGTTTTTTATATTATTGCAAATATGTTTTCGTTTGCAAGTGAGTCTGTCAGGAAAATGTAGACATAAGGACTGTGATTTGTGAGGGTGGCAATACCGTTAAAAATGGCCACTACAGTCTTCAAATCTTATAACGTTTCCCGCTTCAAAGCAAAAATTCCACTTTTGTCGCCTTGGATCCGAGGACACTACGAGGGTTATGGCAACTATTTTATACACTGCACTACATGCATTTGAAAACATTATGTACACAGTACAGGATGCGACCCTCACATGACGTCTGCGTGCATTGGTGCCCAGTAGACAAGATTTACAAACGTTAGTGTAGTATCCAAGAGTCTGTGTTCCGAGATGGATGTCACTCAAGTTGAACATTGAGAATACGTAAAATTGCATTTCTGCATGGCACAAATGCTCATGAGTGCTACGCCGAACTACTAGAAGCATTGGGTAATGGGGCGTTGCCCTATCGAACTGTTGCACGTTGGGCGGAGAACATCAAACATGGTCGTGCAGCAAATCTGTTGACCTGCCGTGCAGTGGACGTCCAGCGCCTGCTCACACAGAGGAGCAAGTCGCTGTTATCAAACACTGTTTAGCAGATGAAATGCATTGGAGTGTGGCGGAAGCATTCGCATATACTGGTATGTCTGCATCGACAGCGTTTCGCATTTTTCGGAATGACTTCAATATGCACATGGTTTGTGGAAAGTTGATGCCTTATCAATCTAGTCGATAACAACATAAAGGAAATGAGATGTAGAAACTCATTAAATTAATGAGTTATGTTATTATAATATAATTGATGAAACGTGGGCACGAGCATATGAACCAGAACTAAAGAGGCAATCAAATGAATTGCGTTGTCACCACGAACACAAACGTTTCTAAAGAATCCATTATCCACGCTTATGACAGCCAAGTTATTCTGGTGGGTCATCCCGTCCGTGGGAGTAATCTGTCACTGCCACGTACTAGATTATTTCTGCTGCTCACTCTGCATCATACACTGCTGAGGGGACGTTCAGGGCTTCTCAACAACGCAATACTCCTCCATGATAATTCAACAAGCCACACTGCAGCATGTGTCCAGAACCTTGTGCGGGAGTGGGGTTGGAGGTCTTGGAATACCATTCGTACACTCCTGACTCTCAGTCCGTGCGACATTCACCTCATTCCAAAAACGTAGACGCCGCGTGGGAAGCGATTTGCAAACAGGGAGAGCATCCTAACAGCACATGGGCGAGATGTGAGGCGCATTGACGCCTCACACACGGCTGATGGTGTTAAAACGCCTTCCTCATCGTTAGCAAAGATGTGTGGACAACTTGGGGAATTATTTTGAAGGTTGTTAGCTCGTAAGAGCACGAGTTTTCCGCGCAATGTTTGGTTTTGTGCATATGTAATAAGAATAAAATAATTATCTCTATTTACGCATCTTTCAATGACCTTTATCCACAGCACCTTGTACCCAGATCCCAATTTAGTACCCGCATTGCAAAGAATATATAAGCGACTTTCAATTGTATATCCTGATTTTTGTTTCCTTCAGCTTAATTGACTGATAAAAAATAGTTGCCATGTCTTCTGAAATGACCCTCGTATTTTATTTCTCAATTGATAAAAAAAAGTACGAAATCTAAAAAATGCTTACTTTATTACTTCCAGCCCTCTCGGGTCACAGACGTTCAGAACTCGGTTTAAAAAATACAACTTCAATTTAGAGAAAAATGATCTTCTAGAAAGTGTGTATACACAAATCAAAAAACTTTTAGGTGTCAGTACGAAGATGAAAACCTCCAGATATCCAAAAATGATCTTAAGGCTCTAAAGGAAAATCGACACACCGTATTTTCTTCTTTGACCCGCGGTCCCCAACTTCTGACTACAAAGCAAGGCCGTTTTAACAGTTTATTAAAAAATCTAAACTTCTCATCACTGAGTGACATTTTCGTATCAACCAGTAACATTCAATATTGTAAATATTATCCAATAATACGCGAACATCACTTCGTTATTCCAATTTCTGCGTATAATTTAATTATATACCACTTTTATATGCTTTTTCAGATTTTATATCATGAAAAAGCATTATATTGTTTTTTAATAACTATCGGGGGGGGGGGGCTTGCGATAATACGGGCCTGCCACGACTGCTTCTGACACTTGCCGTTCACAGGCGATTGTGTTGCCGTCAGTCCTGAAAGTCTCGTGTTCGGGACAACTCTCTTCCTTAGTGTTTGAATTGCGCAAAAACTCTTTCTTTGAGCTTCACACAAGATTTGATGTTGCGTAAATTAGAGCCGTTTCGGTTAAGTGCAAAACCTCTCTATTGTAGTTGGGTTGCAATGGAATATCTTACGGCATTTCGCGTCTTTCTCGTGCCACTACAAGTCGCATGATCGCGACCGTTTGGTCGATTAGTCCAGGGATATGACAAATACGCGAAATGCCGCGACGTGCACATGCCATCGTGAAGACAGGACCTGACGCGCCTCGTTATATAAATCCGAAGTATAATATAGTGCCAGCGTTTTTGAAGCTAAGGTCAATGTAGTATGTGGCTATCGTATCTCTCAAGATACAACAAATACGTGTGTGTCTATAAAATCTTTTTGATCTTTATCTTATTTCAGTGATTTTATTTTAATTATTCTCATTCTAGATAAAGCAATTGCTGCACGATCTTTTGGTTTGCTACAAATGATGTTCTCTTCAAAAAAACTAGAACATGTTATCTCAGTTATACAACTATAGTGCAAATTTTTTTCATGTCTCGTCTTCATGTCACTGCATTTCTCGGTCGTGCCTCTAGATATCGCGACCGCGTAAAGCAGTGGTTGATAGTCGCGCTCATGTGACACGACGGAACGACCTAGAACACGAAATGCAGTGATGAAGTGAAGATATGGCTCAGGTGAAAAAAGTCGCATACATCATTATTGCTCAGGATGGAATCTCTGAAACAATTTTTTGACTTGAATTGTCCAAACGATTTAGCAAGAGTTCAGGACGTTATTTGATGGCGTGGATGAGGATAAGACGAAAAATGTTAAGAGGACTTCCACAATTTTTAGTCGGTGTTAATCCAGCATTGTGCCTTTGGTTGTACTGATGGACGTGTCATAGGAAATTTAAAAAATACAAAAAGTGAACAATTTGTTCGAACTAATCATTTTCCATTTACGCTTTTATATTGTTGAACGTTTCTTATATTGTAAAAAAAAAATGTGTACAAATTATTTCTTAGAATTTAACTATCTCCATAATATTTTTAACATGATTTCACTAGTAATTTTGTTATTGTTATTAAAAGGAGGTTTAATTGTAATTCTTTACAATCTTCCCCGAAGTACTTATGTAAACATTCGCATTATTATGGAATTTTTAGCATGTATCTGGCAGATACAATGTTAGCGACAAAAGGGTTTTTTGGGGGAAAGAAAGAGAGTTAAGGAGACCAAAATTAAGTATATTTATATATTGAAAATTAAAAAAAACTTATCATTGGTTGAATTAACATTTATTGTAGTGTTAAAAACACTAGACACCAGAATTATACATATTTCAGAATGTAAGACTCTTACATTTTACACAAAATGAAGTAAGAATTAATAAACTTTACAAAAAAATATAGCTTATCACCTAAAACTTTTCACTATACAAATGTTTAATCTATTGTGTGGATCAAAACAGGAAGTGTTGGAATACATAATTAAATCAAGTCTGCCACATTCATTGGCATTTCATCAATCTGTGTAGAATAGTACTGTTCAATATCACGCAAAATTCTGATATCATCACTCTTAACAAAATTAATAGCCACACCCTTGCGACCAAATCGTCCTGATCTACCTATTCTATGAATGTACAACTCACGATTGTTTGGTAAATCATAATTTATAACCAATGACACTTGTTGAACATCAATGCCTCTTGCCCAGACATCTGTGGTAATTAAAACTCTACTCTGTCCTGATCTGAATTCCTTCATTATAGCATCTCGCTCCTTCTGTGGCATGTCACCATGCATTGAACTCACTGTAAAATTAGCTTCTCTCATCTTTTCTGTAAGCCAGTCAACCTTCCTCTTAGTATTACAGAAAATAACTGCTTGAGTAATTGTCAAAGTATCATACAAATCGCAAAGGGTATCAAATTTCCATTCTTCTCTTTCAACTGCTACAAAAAATTGCTTTATTCCTTCAAGTGTCAATTCATCACGCTTCACCAATATACGGATCGGATCAGTCATAAATTTGCTCGTCATTTCCAAGATCTCGTGAGGAAGAGTAGCTGAAATCAAAACAACTTGTGTTGCAGGAGGAAGGTAGCGATAAACATCATAAATTTGTTCTTTGAAACCTTTGTTCAACATTTCATCGGCTTCATCAAGCACTAGCATTTTTATAGATCTTGTGCGTAACACTCTTCTTCTGATCATGTCAAATACTCTGCCTGGTGTCCCAGAGACAACATGCTGTCCATAATCTAATTTACGGATGTCTTCTCCAAGATTGGTACCACCAATGCAAGCATGACATTGTACACTCATAAAATCACCCAAAGCCAAAATGACTTTTTGAATCTGAACAGCCAGTTCTCTTGTTGGAGAGAGACACAATACTTGGCTTTCTCGTACTGTTGTATCCAAAGATTGCAATATAGCAATTGAAAATGTAGCTGTTTTACCTGTTCCAGATTGAGCCTGAGCTATTACATCCCTTCCTTTCACAATGGGTTTGATAGCCCTCTGCTGAATTGCAGATGGTTTTTCAAATCCATATGCATATATCCCTCGCAACAACTCCTCTCGTAAGCCCATGTTATCAAAAGTCGCAATGACTTCAACATCTTCACTGGTTTCAAATTCAACATTTGAGAGATCTTCTGTTTGAACCACACGTCTAATTCTAACATCCTCCATGGTGACTGATTTAATTAACAAATAACAAGTGAATTCTTAGTAGTTTTGGTTATTTCTAAATTAAAATACAAATATGAGAGATTAAATTAAGGTAACAAATTGCTGGTTTGTATTGGTAGCTTTAATCCAATCTACTTCCAAAGTTGATGGACCAGATTGTTTTACAGGAAGGTAAACTCCACCATAAACTTGCACTCCAAAGCTTGTTATATTTCTGGTATCTAATGAACCAACTTCTGATTCATTTAGAGGGCGTCCTCTGTAAAATGGTTTGAAGTCCGCTAATGGCAAGTTGACCACTTGAAACTCGTTCAGCGCGACCTGAAATAAAATTAGAAATTTTTGTCAAAACAATTTAAAAAGTTCAAGATATTCCAAAGTAAGATTTCATTTATCATGCAGTGATATTATGGCTTCCAGAATGCTTTGCAATGTATATTTGTATTTAGCGGGTTAATTATAAAATCAGCTTGCTTTAAAAACGTAAGAGATTTAACTAGAAAATCACAGTTTCGTTTCCATTTTAATACATGTCAAATCTATCTTCTAATTTGGTAACACTGATGAACTCTTGCAAACGATTTGTATTGCCTCCCATCCAACTCTGATTCCCCCCACTGTGAGCAAAATAGGATTTGAAACAAAGATAGTATGAAGGTTTATGTACTTTATAGGGCATTTTTCAGTTTTTACTCCGTAAATTATATGTATTTAAAGAGTTACTAGCACTTTTAAATCTGGTCCCTAGTATTCACATATTTTGTGTGATCAAATGCTGCTTCTAACAGGTTGCTTCTTTTCAAAGTATTAATTCTCCAGATAAAAAATCAAAAACATTTTGCTTACATTCAGAACTAGTTCTTGGGACTACTTAATTTCCAAGAAGATAAGTCAGAAAATGCATCATGAAATTGAGGCAGCTGCTTTACAACACATCTGCGTGTATTGTGATTCGAATTACTTTCTTGATTCGATTAAGATTTATTCAGAAAAGAAAAGAAAAAAAAAAAAAGTTTAACATAAATAAATATAATTTTAAAAATCACAAGATTAGCAATATTTGAAAAATAATCATTTTCATTTCTGAGTTATAGAAAACTTATTTGCATCAGTACACGAATTGCAAGTATGATTTTTCTGCATTGCTAACAAAATACAATTCACCCTTACCATTAAAAGCAAAAGGAAAGCTCAACAAAACACGTGCATAGTGAAGCTACATTTACGTCCAAAAGCAAAACGAGGGGCCATCTCAGCATTTGCTCAATGGGTCAGGGAAACTGGACAAAAACATGATTAAGATAGGGGTCACTGACCCGTGAGAGATTAAAGTATTTGAAAACTGATTTCTCGTTTGCAAATACACACAACTGACATTTTGAATTCGTAATGATACAAGAAAGTAAACTTTAAGAACGGAAGAACATAAGGGTCAACAAATGAAGGTAAAATTAATAAAATATGTAAATAATTATTTTGCTATATAGTTCAGCAAAGAGATACTTATTGTCTTATATGCGAGTTCTAGAGCACACGATTTAACACTGCAACGTTCATTCCCTAATCTCAATAGTTAACTAGATGTGGAAGAGTCTCTACATGACCCAACCATTACACTTCACTCAAATCTGAGAGATTGTAGCAACAGTTGATTCAACCAAACTTACTTTATATTTGTTTACTTTTTCCTTATTTCTTTCCTTAACATATAGTTAATTATTGGAAACTGGTCATCCAGTGTGATTTTATTTCTAAAAATTGAGAAATAAATAAGGGATCATGCTTTAAATATAATCCCTGTATTAAGAAATGAGATTTGATGCAAAAATAAATCTTACTCATAACAATTATTTCAGATACAAAATAATAAAACAATCAACCATCTTTTGGAAAAATGCAAAGCAGGACTAAAATTAAGAATATATGCACTCAAAAATCACTTTATATGACACTATTATTTCTGCATTCAAATTAGCCCTGAAAGGCAATATAAAACTTCGTACTTCTCTACAATTCTAACAATTTACTCTTTATTGCATTTAAAGCACATATTTTTCTTATCTTTTAATTGCATTACTTTGTGCCTATCTAAACTTTTCAAACTACACTACATTTTGCACAAATCTACTTATTGAAAATATATTCTCTCCTTCACAAAAATGTGAACGTCTTGTAAAAGAGTCGATTAATAATTTGTAAAACTTTTAAAAGCAGTCCATTTTGAATTGATCAATTAATAATTATAATAATACTTATAATTATTATTATATTTTTTGGTTTATAGTACTGTCGGGCAAGATCCAAACAAAGTCAAACCCATCTTATATTAAGATAATTAGACTTACCAGATACCATCCCCACACATTTCCATTCCAAATATTTAATTTTATTGACACATCAATAAAATCAGTAATTATTAATGCTGAACAAACTAGTGGTACTACAACACCACATTTTCTCGCGATATTTGCTACTGCTTCAATTTTTGAAAATTCGAGTTCAGCGAAAATTGACACTGCACAATTTTTTAACGGTGGTACTTTTGAAAATTTGGTTAAGGCTTTATATTAAGTATTCCCATAACTCAAAATATCCTATTCAAATTCGCCGAGCCTCGAGTTTAGCCATATCAATCGTGGAATATCAAATTTGGAGAAAACCATGCGAGCGGGACTAAGAGACCATGTCAAATAGACTGAAGTTTTGTCATAAATTAATTTTTCAGTATCAAAATTCCACAAAATGTAGATTCTGACTACACAATATGTTAAGAAATCATTTACTGCATATGATGGAGTCCATCAAAAAGAAGTTTTCTGGTGAAAAATTGCCGCTTTCTGCTATAGCATTACAATACTCTCTCTTCTTCCTAATTCTAATTACTTAATGCAAGTATTATTTAACAGAATAGTGTTACAATTTTCAAATGAATATTCAAAATAATCATTTACTTCAATTTTACCACAACTTAACATTCAGGATTGTAATAGAAATAAAATTCACAACACTGCCTCGGGAGCCGCCCATAATTTATGTAATGGAAATTTGGAGTATTTTTGAATACCTCTCCCCTCATATCCATAACGTGCACTCTAGCTTCCCCTAAACAATTACATAACACTTAAGGACTCCCACCCTACAAGAAATAAAAATAAATTATATCACAGAAAAAAATTGTTTTAATTTTATTTGTTCAGTTTTAAAATTTATAATTAAAGTCAGAATTAATTGGCAATATGGACTACTTGTAACAATAATGTTTGGAACAAGTGTTATGTGAAGGAAGGATGCAGAGATGTGAACATTTCTTATGAGCCGTGCACATGTCGTGGAAGACGCAGGAGTGACAATCTACTGCACTAATTTAGTTTGATTCAAGAATATACATAGATCAGTTTTGAATATTTTCTTTCACATCTTAGAGATTCTAAAAATAAAAATAAAAAAAAATACTTCCATGTATAGTAACAAATTATACAATAACTTTAAATTATTTGTTTTTAAAAAATTAACTAATAATTTAAATTTTTGTTATACGACAGAAAAAACATGATCAAAAATTAAAAACAAATCAATTTACTTAACAATAAACTAATATTCCCTACACCAACTAACGCAGCGTAACACTGTCTCAAAAACCCCTTCCCCCGCTCTTTAACATTACGTAGTTTAGGGACGACACATTGAAATAAACTACTAGCTTTGTTAGATGTGGAAAGAAATTAATCAAAAACTTACTTCATGTAATTTATTACATTCAATCCCAAAAGAATTCATTTCTAGAGCATACTCATCAATTTGAAGTTATTTACCATAAAAAACTGTTCATAAGTTGGATGAGGCTCGTCATTGAGCCCTTTGTGCCTGAGGATTATTTTATATCCAGGAACATTGCCTTGTCTTCGAACCTTTAATGCAATGTTTTCATAATGATGTAAATCAAGTGATGTTGAAATACGAACACCAGCAAATCCAGCACCATTTGGTTGTGGGTTCAGAAGGAAAAAGAAAACTGCTCTTTGAAAGACTTTAGTCTTCTGCAAGACTAATACTGCTTTTGATTTCCCAACTTCTCTTACAGTATCCGACTGCTCCATCCAATCATCAACTGAATGAAGTCTTGTAAAATCAAATAGAGTTGTTTCATTTCTTGCTCTGGATAACTCTAATGACTCACTATTTCCACTCTCCAAATTAGAGCTAGGGAAAATGCAATCTATTAACAAATATGTAATTGTTATAAAAAATACTAATTATTAACCTGTAAATTATTTCTGGAGTTTGCAAAACAAACTTTATTGGCAACAAACATTTGTAAAGATGTTAACCCATTAAGCTGCCCCATAGGAAACCCATAAAGTACCAGATTTTTAAAATAATCAAAAATTGTTTCACTGTTGTATTTTATGACCCACAAATGCATTAGATATTACTTTTTGTAAACAGCTGGCTTCTCAAACTTCTTTTGAAGCGATGGATACTTAAACTGACAAACCATTTCTCACATTCCTTTCGTACAATTCACACCGCTTTTGCTCAGTCAGTTAACAAACCTCGTCTTAGGATGGTTGATATCTACCCAAGCTGTGAATGGGACACTTTCAAAGTGGATAGGTAAGAGCAGTCTGCCTTCCTTTCATTAGCAAATCACAGGTATATTTTCACTACAGTACCTACCACACATGTGCCTTAACATCAATCAAATTAATTTTAAAAAAACTCCTTAAATTTTGAATTACATTTTTCTGTGCATTAAGTTCCATTTTTTCGCTATACTCAAGTCTATCATAATATGCAGAAAGGTATGGTTAAAAAGTTGACTTGGAATCTTTCTTTTCTTTCACAATCTGAACCAAAAGCGAGATCCCATGATTTGAAAATTTACATAATTGTTATCCTCCTCCGGTTTTGCAAGGCCACATTTGATCCTAAGCACAAAATGGCCATGACCCACTGGCTGAGAAATAATGACCTAGTTAATAAAGCATGGTTGCAATCCTTAATGACTTAAGAATGGATTTTCATTCTCAAAGAGCATACAAAATCAATAATTGAAAAATGACGAAATTTAAGTATACTGCATTTAATGATTTAAGAGCATTTGAATGAGATATAGAAGACTGTCAAATAAAGTTGAAAACTTACAGAGACAAGTGACAACTGAATGAATTTCTATAATGGGAAAGGCAAATAAGAAAAATGAAAAGCAGTTTCAAGAAACAAGTCTTTAGTAGATACGTAAGAAGTTTAATTAGTAAGATTAACCAAAAGAAAACATCAAAGTACATACTTTCAAGTGTTTCAAATTTAATTTGTAAAAAAATATGGCTCATTAATTTAAAAGAACAGTAAATCTAAAACAGATTCTCGCCTTTGAAAGCAGCATATGGTAAATTTAACAAAACTTGCATAAGGCTTACCAAACGTTTTAATACTAGCCTATTTTGTTTTCGGTAAAATTTATAATGTATTCAGCTTTAAGTTAAATACTACAGTGATTTAATTATATATCAAAATTTAAACTGACATGAACCAAGGTTATTAGATACAATAGGATAATAGTCAATTTCGAAACTATTCGCCCAAGATCTTATATTTACTTATGAGATATTTTAATTACTACATAAATACATACATAAATAAGTACATAAATAAAAGTAAGTAATATCTTCAAAAGAAACAATTACGATCACTTACCAATAAACGTTGGAAGAAAACATAATTTCCAGCGCAAAGATGTAAGCAGCGGTCAACTGCATGCCTAAAAACATGCCATATTTTGAGAACTTATAAAATACGAAATATGAATAAGCATAATGAAACAAATAAAGCAAACTTGTTTTATGTATCACCTTGCTATAGCCCAGACAACACTTAATAAAAACACACATTATCCACAAGAATCCCCCTCGGCACTACTTACCAATATAAAAGCAAATACAATTTCTCTGTAGAATGTTCTCAAATTCAACTCCCCACACATTGGCAGTAGTCGAACACACCGGCGCACACCAACACAATACACACTATTTGGGAAAACTTGTGAAACTTGACAACAATATGGCGTGCGAAACGAGAGGCTGAGATCGCTTCAAAGAATAAGCATTACGGTAAAAGTATCAATACAAGTTTATCCTTTGCACGTTAAACCACCTCTGAAAAAATATATCACAAAACAACAAACACCAACAACAAAAGTTAACTAGAGTCCAGGTTGAACTAGGATTATATTAATCTAGAGCTCTTTCTAGAGTCTTGGTTCAGCCACGCCATGCACAAGGACCAAGGAGATTAGAATATATTCTACAGTACGATTTATAATTACGGAAATTTGCACATATTGTGCAATTAGTTTTCGACGGCATACATGCTTATAGATTTTCAATTTATTATGTGATAACGCTCACACTGTCTTTCACATTCACTGCATATACATTTGTCATTTGGACATAGAAACTCATTGTCTGGCATATTCGGTGGTCGAACCCGTGCACTGCCAGGCGCGTAAACTCATGCTTTTGCTTGCACGTGCTTGTATACCCCGCCTCTGTCCATTCTCTATTTATCATCGCATCAGTACAGTAGCAATCTGGCAATATATCTTCTTCTCTCTTTTTTTTTCTCATTCGTTCAGCACTTCTCATAGCGCGTTTGTGTTGGGCATCTGCAATTGAAGTCTTACATCTTCCAATGGGAAAGTTTCTTTTATTATCCTCGCACGTTTTCTTGAGCCCTCATTTAGCTAGATGCAAGAGGAGTGAGGTGGTCGTAAACAGAACTATAATATCTAATCTGTAGCTCGTTTTACGATGCAAAATAATTTCTATTAAACGGGAGCAACCATTTCTGGTTATCAGATTCTGTGAACAACACTCGTTGCTATCATTTATTCCTAATTCAACTAATTTTAGTAAAGGAGTGGGATGGGTGTTCCGGGGCTCAAGAAAACTTGTGCGTACAATACCATTCACTATTACGCCAGTCCTGACCACGCATACTTGAAATTTTTTTAATGAAATTTGCTTTTAGATTTTCTATCATTTCTAACTGCTTCCAGTTCCTAGTTCCATATTATTTCTAAACCGTATGTCGCTACTGGGAGTATTTTGTGGGTAAACAAATTCACGGCTGTTTCTATAGACAACTGAGATATGGAACGTGGTTCATACTTTTTGTTACTGCAATTAATCTTTCCTTTAGATGTATGGTTAATGTTGTTCCTGTAGTTTGCAGAGTAATTCCTAGGTATTTCGGTGAGCAAGCTGCTCTTAGTTTAGCTCCATTGCACATTATTATGTCGTTCCTTTTCGTTCTTCTGGTCCCTCCGAAATATTGTCATTTCTGTTTTAGTTGTATTTATTTGTGGCTCATTTGCAGACGCCTATTTACTTAGATCGTCAATTCCCTTTGCTATTGCTTTGCACCCTGTTGAGACTACTGCTACGTCGTCAGCATAAATTAATATATCCACTTCTACTTTTTTTACGGCTGGCTTTAGATCTTACGTAGTACGTTAAATAATAGAGCACTTAGAGCATCTCCGTGCAGTACTCCTACACGTTGCTCAATTTTCTCTGATATTTTTATATTCATCATCAATTTGGATGCAATTTTCTGTCAGGATATTGATCGTTATTCTCAGCCAATCTCGCCCTGCGGCATTGATCAACTTGTCCTCAATGATTTGCTTATTTACATTAACATCGAAGGGTGTGCAGAAATCAACAAATACTGCATATAATTTGTGTTGTTCATTTACACTGTCATTTATGCTATTAATTTGGTTTCGCACTGTCATGTGTGTATATATTTTATGCCTAAATCCAAATTGCTCTTCGGCTGGTAAAGTGATCTACCTCTGCATATAATCTTGCTATCAATTTTGCTAAAATTTTGAATGGCGTGTTTTCAATGGCTGTTCCGTTGTACACTTCAGGTGAGGATGAATCTCTTTTGCCTCCTTTGCCTTTATAAAGTGGCTTCAGAGTTGCCGTGCGCCATCTGATGGTATTTCTCCACTTTGAATACATGCATTGAATAGTTCGGTCCAAGATTCCGCTAGGAGCGGTAGTGAGTGTTTTAGGTCATCCTAGCATAGTCAGGAGTTACATCATTACTCTCTGCTCATAGTAAAAGCCATCGGGTCTAGTAGTTTTGTTGTTTTTTGTTTCTCTCTTCTCCTTAATAATAAATAGTTCACATGGTTTCCATATTCCACTTAGTTTTTTCGGACTTGTCTCTTGGTGCTTTACAATTTTCCTAATGTGTTCCTCCCATGTATTAATTAGGATGTCTACTGGGAATTTCGGCTGTTTCGGCGTTGTATGCAATATAGATTAGCCTTCGCTTCTTGTATAATTGTGTTTCCTTCCTTCTCTATGCATTCCATTTTCTTCTGATTTAGTATTTTATATTCCTTTCTTGATCGGTATTCTTGTAAATTTGCACTCTTTGGGAATGTCTTTATCTTCCTTCGGCTTTCCAGTGATATTTTTGTCTCATCACATACTTTGTTGAAACTAACTTTTGCTCGTCTCTTTGTTCGGGGAAACGTTGCTGTTTCTATTGTCAGATAAGGTTCATTGCATTTATTAGGTTCATGTTTTTCAATTCCTCCTTGATTGCTGGTAGTCTGTCTTGTCAGTTCTTCTTGGTCTAACTTTGCATCTAGTTTCCAGACTTGCTGTTGTTTTACGGATTCGAACCCTCGTACAAAGGTTACATCTATTGCACTTGCTCCATTGTGGTCTACATATGTTTTCACTTGTTCGTTGTTCATTAGTGTCAGTCCTTCTTGTATTAGGAACTGCACCACAGTGCTGGTCTTTGGGTATGTCTACATACGCTCTGCAATTAGGTCTCCAGATACCACTATATTTTCTTTCCTGTTTATTTTATTTAGTGCTTTGGATAACCTATTATGTCTAGTGATGTGAATTCAGGATTATAGTACGGTTTATGGCGTTTGAAGTAATCCAGTTGTTGACGAAACTTTGTTCGTTTCTAACATTCGATCTTTTTTATACATTGATCTTTTAGAAATTATTTAAAACCTATTTCAAATATATGAAATAATAATTACTAGCTTTCAGGGAATATCACAAATGCACAGAATGCGATGGAATTTCGCGTCGTGCTCACGAATTCCAGTGAATTAGTCTCATTATTGTGAAATTATTTAGCTGAATGAAAAGGAATTATAACTGTTGATATTTACCTAAAAATATTTATTTTTCGCTTCAAATGTTCATCATTTGTCACGAGTAGACCCCGGAAATTCATGCATTCACAACACATAGTTCTGTCACCGAACACAAAACTGCCGCATGGGTTACACAAAAATCTGCGGTGGCTGAACATGCTCTCTCGGGAAGAGAACACGACATTCTGTTCGAAGACACTGAAATACTATCTACCACTAACCACCACCACACCAAGTTACAACGGGAAGCTATTGAGATTTTTAAACAACCCAACAACTTCAACAGGAAAGAAGAAGGGATCAAAATAATTCCTTCCGGTATCCCACACTCCGTAACACTAAAACAAAACCATGTAAGGACAGTTGCCCGTCCCACAACGCAATCGATAGCCAACCAGGAGCCAGCCAGCAAACCGTTGACCAATCACATGCTAGCACGTGTAATCCTCGCCGTCGCGTCCCCCTCACAGGCTACAAAAGGCGCGGCCGTGTGAAGCCAATGTAAAATGTCGCTTTAGACAGACCACTTTTTTTGCGCCTCAATGCAACGCGTGACTTAGCTCTTTACGGAGCGTTCAGCGCACTATGGAGTAATCCTCCGTTACAAGCGCCCCCTAACGGCCTCTGAGTAGTAGTCACGTCAGTTGCTGTCAAGTCAGGGCATCGCCGACAGGTAGCGTCTTCGTGCTCGCGTCTCGCACCCGCCCTGCGTCATCTACCCATCGGCCACAATTGGGAGAGAATAAGGTTAGTGATAAGGTTTAGGATGCTTCACAGGTGTTGGACTAGCCCATGTGAAGCAGGTAAACTCATTTTGACGGAACAAATTTCACAGGAGGTTCTATGGGAATCGAATCCGGAACCTCAATGGTGAAAGGCAAGCGACTTTTGTCCTGAGCCCTTTACTTTTAAGTTGTACACTGAAAACGTGCGAAAGAAAGCGCGGCAGACCAGAGGCAGATTGCGAAGCCTGTTTCACTAGCGGAGCAAACTGTTAACGGTAAACTGTGAACTGTCTCACGCTTTATAAAGCAATTATTAGGCCATAGCTGGACTACGGATGCCCCAGTAGGGTAATTGCAGCAAATACACATTTGAATAAACTGCAAGTAGTTCAAAACAAATGACTCAGGGCCACCCTCGGCGCCACTTGATACATTCCAATTAAAACTTTACATCGCGATTATCAATGTCACTGCTGATTGATCATATCAAAAATATTGTTTCTAAATATTTTGAAAATACAGCTGACTCGGAAAACTCTCACATTTCCGAGATCGCGTCATACCAACCCGATCAACGGGTGAAGTATAGGCGACCGAAGCACTTCCTGGAGTAAGCGTAATCTGAAACAGGGAAATGAGACTTGAAATATAAACTTATCATTTCTGCTCACGCTACGCGCGCGCGCTAGTTGGCGTAAGTTATTCTTGACCTTCTGTTTTTCTTTATGTTGCAGGATTGGTGATAGATGCCTGCAAGGGTAGGAAAGGTCGCACCGCAGTGCCGTGAACGTGCATTGCACTTTCCGTGCGTTCACAAAACTGCACAAAGAGGGCTCTGCGGGGCGGCTGTAATCAGCCAGCTCGGCCACCGAGCTGAACGGCTTCTTCAGAATCTCATAGATCTCTAGTCACTGTGTTCTGTTTTTAACGAAATACCACTTTGCACTGCGTGAAGGAGGTAAACAGCATTCCACGGATTACCAAGGGTAAAATTGTAGAGGAATAATTCCAGCGTCAATGTGTTAGGGAAGCACGCTTTAGGTAGCGTTCCCCACAACGTTTTCAAATACTGTCTGGAAGAACGTGGGAGAAGACAAACAGCAGGTGCGCCGCCTCAGCTACTCACCCCCACGATCGAAGCTGCAGCTGATGGAGACGTTGCGACTATCTACCAGGAGGGTGAGATTGCAGCCGAGCGAACCGACTTGGTTCATAAGTGTAAACCCGAAACCTCATATGGGGATCTCTCTCAATCCCCATCTTTATCCCAAGATGACGGGTTCATTGAGTCAAAACGTACACGTACAACCTCAATCAACATACAGCCTCCATCATTTATCTCCAAAAACGGCTTCGACCCACTGAATACTCCTGATCCATTTCAACCTTTAAACCAATCCGTTCCCCTTATTCCACCACCACTACCACCATAATCGGTCTCCTAACCAACTGCAAACTCAAGAAGACGAATCGGAATGTTCAAACTGGATGGAATTATTGACCACAACGGACTGATCTCAGTTTTGATGGAGCACGCAAACAACGAGACAGTAAAATGTGCGCAAACGCAACTTCTGATTCAA